GCTGCATTGTTTGAATGTAATAGCTAGTAGGCATTAAAACTACGAGTCAAGTACGTTTAATTGGCTCCCTTTTGACACTATATGAATTGGTAGTTGCAACTAGAGGTGTCAATTCGGATAACCGGATGGAGTTTGGGTCGGGTCTATTCGGGTCGGGTCTGTTCGGGTCGGATATGTTCGGATCAAAATTATCCCTTTAACTCGGATCGGGTCAAATTCGGTTCAGGTCAAATTCGGGTCATGGTCTATCGAGTCCGGGTCGGATACGGGTCGGGTCAACTTCAGATCGATTCACTTTTGGTTCGGATATATTTGGATCGGGTTTAAAACGGGTTTAGCCGGGTAACTTCGATCGGGTCGGATGAATTTGGGTCGGGTTGATTTCGGTTCGGATGATTTCGGTTCGGTCAATTTCGGTTCAATTCCTTTTTGTGTTTGGCTGGATTTTGGTCGAGTTGACCAAATTCATATCCAAATAAGGTTATTTTTAAACTAGAGATATTGTTTAGTTTTTACCTTATTATTGGGTCAATATGATTATTAATTACGAAGCACGAAGTTTTAGTTTTCTCATTTGATCAAGTTATGTGTAATTTTTATCTTTGAGGAAAATTAAGATTGAATAATTATCAATGACTTATCATACCTATATAAGTGAGAAGTGAGACCGAGCTAGTGATATATTGACGAATAATAGTTACATATGGTGATATATACAAAAAAGTATGTCATTTTTTTTAGGTTATTACAAGTTTATAACTCTTCATCAATTGTACAATCATATGAGGCTATGAGTTCTATACTATTAGTTTAGTTTATTACTGATTCAATTTTTTAAAGATATTTGTTAGAGTTGTTAGAATTACTTTATTACTAATTCAATTTGTATATTAAAACCTTGACATTATACATATTGATAGTTAATTGTTACTATGTAAATTCTTTTTATTTAAGCATAAATTATTGCATATGTGTGTAGTGAGTATATAACCGTGCGATGTACAACGCCTATAATTCTACAATAATGCACAATTGTACTCCGCACTTTTAACCAATAATATAACAGAATGGGAGGAAATTGTACTCTGCACTTTTAACCAATATAAAAGAATTATTAGTTCATATAATATAACAGAATGGGAGGAAATTCATTGAATGGGAGGAAATTCATTAAAAATGCCAATAGGCTTTAGGCAGCATTTAACTAGAGCTTTACAAGCAAATCAATTAACTCCCGCTTAATGTTTAGGTTTATCAGATCTTGTGGCATTTATTAAAGCTTAGAAAGTAAATTAATATAATTGATATGTACATGAAGTAAACTTAAGACTCCGGATTATTTCTTTGTAGTCAAAAAGTTAACTTATTAATAATTAGTAAGTATATAGTATAAGAAATTGAATAAAAAAGTAAATAATTAATTATGATCGGGTTAAATTCGGATCGGGTAAAAATAAAATCGAGTTAAAATCGGATCGGGTTAATATCAGTTCGGGTCAAAACAGATCGGATTAGATCGGTTATTTTTCGGGTCAATTTTGGATCGAGTTGAGCTCGGGTCGGGTCAAATCGGTTCGGTTTGAGTTCAGGTCAGGTCAAATCGGATTCGGGTTGAGTTCAGGTCGGATCAAATCGGTGCCGGGTTAAGTTCAGATCGGGTCAAGTTCGGATTCGGATTGAGTTCAATTTGGTTTCAGATCGGGTTTGGGTCTTGAATTTCTCGGATCAAATCGGATCGGTTACAGTTCGAAACGGATAATTTTTTTCGGGCCGGTTTGGTTTTGACACCTCTAGTTGCAACTTTACCAATATGGTCAGTATATGTCACATTGAGTATGATTTTATGCATGTTTTGCTTTAATGTTGTTGCCTATTTTGAGTTTCTTATATTGAGGATGGAAACTGGTTTTCTTGGAGGCAGTTGTGGACTTGTGGTTCCTTCCCTGCTTTCCTTCTAAGAAACTAAGATACTTAAAATTTTCATTTGCGTGAAGAGGGTTTAAAGGGATGCATTAAATACCCCATGATTATGCTCTGATGTTTAGCACATTTAACTCAATAATATCTAATCTTGTTGAAGAGTTACCATATATAAAAGAAAAGGTGATATTTTATAGGAAAAATACACTTTAATAATTCCAACTATGGGCGATTTACCTACAATAATCCCAACTATCGATTATTCTACAATAATCCTAACTATTAGGTTAGTTTTTCTCCAGCAGTCCCAAAAACCTGTTACCTGCTAAGAGGGTAAATTTTTTTTTATTTTTTAAATGCCACATGTCATCACATGATTGGCTTATTTTAAAAAAATTAAAAAAAAAACAAAAGAAAAAAAAAAGCAAAAATCGAATCAGCCAACCGCCGCCGTTCCCAGCCACCCACCGCCAATCGGAACCGGCCGACCACCTCCCTAACCTCCTGAAAATGGCCGGTCGGCCCTCCCTACCCTCGAAACACACACTCCCGATCGACCCCAACCCCCTAAAACCACTCTCCTCCCTTCCAACCCCTTCGCCGAAAAATCGATTCAAACAAAAAAAAATCAACCACTCCTCCCTTCCTACACCCTCGAAACTTCCCATGGGGGCGAATTCGAGGGTTGGGGAAAGAAGGAGGGTCGTTTTTAATGGTGGTAAGGTTGTTTTCGAGGGTTTCAGTGGTTTGGGAGTGGAAGTTTTTAAAGGTCGAATTCGGTGGTTTAGGGGTGATTATGGGTTGGCGAAGGTGGATTTTATGGTTGGGAAGGGTCGTTCGGTCATTTTCGAGGGTTAGGGGAGACAGCCGGCCATTTTCCGAGGGGCTAGGTGTTGGCCCTAGTGATTTGCGGTGGCACAAAGGTATTTTGGTGCGATTTGGGGCCGCTACTAGTGGTTTCATGGCCAAGGGTTAGGTGTTTTGGCCGGTTTCGGGGGTGCGGCTGGTCGCGGGAGTCGTTTCCGGCTTGGGTGGCTGGAGAAGGGGGTATTTTAGGGTTGCGGCAGGAGGTGGAGGTGGTGGTTAAGGGCTGGAATGGTGGCTGCTAGAATTTTATTTTTTTTTATTTAAAAGAACCACTCACACGCTGACACGTGTCGAACAACCTACAATAATAGGTTATTGACTTTTGTTGACCGGTTTGGGACTGTTGGAGGAAAACTAACCTAATAGTTGGAATTATTGTAGAATAATCGATAGTTGGGATTATTGTAGGTAAATCGCTCATAGTTGAAATTATTACAAATATAAATACCTATTTTATATATGTGCTCAATAATATCCGATCTCGTTCAAGAGTAACCATCTATAAAAGAAAAGGTGATATTTTGTATGTGCTTAAAAATGGTTAGATATGTATGCTTTTATATACGTAGTATGTATATATGTTTGATGACAAGCAGGGAACATGAACACGCATTGTTCTCAAAGTCATGTGGGATTTGGAGAATCATATAGTTGAATTTCTTAAACTTATTCTAGTCCATTAGCTCAATTGGTCAAACCCTGTATAATTTCATTGGCACAAAATATATAGCATCGAATCCCACATAGTATAGTTTTGTTTTTTTTTTTCTTTTTTTTTTGACGAGATACATAGTTTTCTAAAGAAATGTAAAAGGTGCATTAAATATTATACCATATAATAAAGATATACTAGCACCATTAAGAGCAAGTTTAGCCCTAAGACTTGGATGTGACATCATTTTTGGTGGTCCCCATTGAAAATGATGTTATCAAATTCTTATTAAGACTCACTTAGACTTACACAAATTTATCACTTTAGCCCTAAGACTTGAATTTTTGACATATTATATGTAGAAAAGTATAAAAATAAAAAAAGGGATAATAAAAATAAAAGTGAGGTGGGTGAAATGGGTCCCAATCTCAAGTGTTAAGTTGAGTCTTGAAACTTCAAGACTCAACTTGAGACTTGCTTGAGATTTTTGAAGAAAAATGGGAAAAGTTTTAAGTGTAAATCTTAAGACTCAAAATGATGATGTCACCCTAAGTCTTAAGGCTAAACTTGCTCTAAGAGTTTCAGAAAACATATACTTTAATGATGTTAGACCATTTCCAATGGTGAGTCTAAAGTGAGTATTTTTAGGAGAAACAGAGTAATTTTTACATCATATAGTAGTATAAATTTAACAACTCCAAAATAAAGTTGCTAAGTTTAGATACTCAATTTTGAGTCTCTTTTGACAAAAAATATGGATCCCTTGTCAATATTCTACCTATAACAATAGATCATAGTGAATGACACAGTAGCTAGTTAGCTATATGAGGGTTGTTAAACGTCGCTTCCCTTTTACTAGGCATTACTCACATTTTTTTTAATTTTCCATTTTTACCCCTATCAAATAAATAGCCACGAGGCCCACGACTCACTCCACGACACTCACAACTCTCATACTTTACTCTCATACTCTCATTTTATCTCTCTAAAAAAAATTAAATAAAATCATGAAAAAAACCACAACATTGATCACAACAACAATAAAAAGTACTAATACTAATTACTCAATTAATCACAAAATTAATAATAATAATAATAATAATAATAATAATAATAATAAAGGAAAATGATATACATAACCTTAGGGCTACATATAAGCATTAAATTTACACTTGAAAATTGTAAATAGTTAAGAAATCATGAAAATATAAACACTAAATAGTTAAGATTACAATAATAAATATGATTAATTAATCAATCAAAAAAAAAAAACTACATACATGATACATCCGCCCAAAATATTTGGATCTACCTAGGTGATTCCTAATTTTTAAGTGGATCCACCTAGGGGATCCTAATTTTTTAGGCGGATGTTTTATTTCAATTTTTTTTTAAAAAAGTACGACAACTTACAGAATCCTCTGATGAAACTTCCAGTGTCCGAACGTTGTTGTCATCCATCGTCCTAAACCCGTCGCTAATGCTTAATAATTTTTTTTAAAAAAAAAACTCGGATTTTTGGTGGTAGATCAAATGTGGTGGGTTGAGGTCGAATGTGGTAGTGTCGGGAACTCGGGATTTCTTTTAGCACGTGGTAGTAAGTAGAGGGGTCGGGAATGATATTATATCATTATACACTACAACTTAAACAAAGGGCAATATCGTCCTTCCATGTCAAAAAGGGAGCATTAGTATGTTAAATGGGAGCGACGTTTAGCACTTCACCCCCCTTACGGAGGTGACTACATAAATACAAGTAGCTATCGTGAAAGATCCAGACTCAACTAAAAATCAAGCGTCAACTCTTTGATAAAGAATTACATAGTTAGAGTATAACTAATTTAGCAGTGGGAGGTAGCCACTTATTAAACTTTTGAGCTTTCATTCTATATTCTTCAACACTGTCATAAAGAGCACAAGGTTTCTTAACAACAACAAGCTGCTCAAGCAATGGAGAAATACTGAGCAAATGCTGACCAAGTTCCATTTCCAAGTAACCTCCACTAAATTTCAGCATCTCAATCAACTTGAGGCTTCGATGACGTTCTTTCCCAATAATGTTAAGTAAGTTTTTGTGACTATCATCCTACACAAATACAAATTCAGTTTAGCACACAATAGTAATTGAAACACAAATGTATATTTAGCACCAAGAATATTGATAGATCACCTTATCAAGATACACCTCCACCCTGTTCAGCTACCAAAATTACATAACAGAATTAGTATGAATATATACAACTATAATAAAAGGAGTTATACAGATGAAGCAATACACCAAATCTTGCTTAGAAAATAATTATGGAAACCAACATTACAACCACAGTTCAAGTTCAGCAAACTGCATCGACATTTCAAGCCCCAACCTTCAATTATTCAACACGACATGACAAGGCGACTTATACTACCTCCGTTTCATATTAGTTATAACTTTGGAGCACTAATTGTGAGATATAAAATATTCCGAAGTTGCAACTAATATGAAATGGAAGATGTACATGAAATTCGAAAGAGTGATCAAGGAAGTGTAGGTGTGAACCCTACTCAGATCACTTTTCTGAACATGAGATTGATAATCTTAACCAAGAATCACAAGGAATGCTTTAATTTTACCTTAATTGAAAATTTCTGCAGGGATGGAGCAGCATTTATCAGCATGATTAGCCAAACGTAAGGGTGAGAACTCCACCGATCTGGTACCACTTCAACTATTAACTGCTCAAGCATTGCGAGTTTAGGAAATTCCAGCAGGTAATCTACAGAGTTTTTTGCTGTGCAAGAATTGATATCCAGCTTAAGCCTCTTGAGTTGAGAGATGTAATTGATAAAAAGCCCCCCACCGTTTCTTATGAAGCTTCGGGAGTATGAAGAGCCTATAGAAAGTTGAGATAAAAGGGGAACATAATCTAGTTCAAGGCATCCCTCAAAACCACTACTGTATCGCAAATGTATCAGATTTGGTGATGAGATCTGAATCCTTTGATAGTAACAATTCACTAACTCCAGGCTCTTCAACTTAGAGGATTGTGTTTGTGTGTTGACTCTAATCTTATGCATAAAACGTGATCCCCACACAGCTAATCGCTCAAGAGATGGACTATTTGACATCATACAGTGAATAACCTCCCTCGAAACATTTATACACTTAAAGCAAACATCTCTAAGGTTATGTATTCCAGAATACTTGTGTATAGCTGGAAAAGTGTAATTTTTGCAACTAGTCCGTGATGAAAAGTCCAGATGAAGGCGAGTAACCTTGTTTGTAAGCGCAATTTGAACCCACCTATTGATGGCTTGATAACTACTACCAGTATCGGAATTGAAACTGAAACGAATAGTTAGTTCATCGAATGTTGGCTTAACGACTTCCAAAAAACGACTTATTCCCTTTGCTAGGATGGGTTGTCTTAAACTTAGTCTAGAATCATAATCATGAGTAGCAGGATATGAAAAGATCAATTTGGAGCCAATGCTTTCAGTCCACAAGTTGCGCCATCTACGGGAAAGGGCACTTGTTGAGACGGCTTCTCTCAAAGACAATCGAGACAATATATGACACAATAATATCATTGCTCAACCGGCTGAAATTGTCGACTACACTCGAACACTACACATAAAATCAATCAATCAATCAATAACTATATACTAACAGACACATCAGTCACCAGTAATGACACGTGTTTATAAAACAAGTTCCCCTTTCGCAATGGTACTGGTTGCCATGTTCCTGGGGCTGTCTTATTATTAGTCTTACGCTTAGCTAATTCCGCGGCTAATTGACTTAATTCTGATCTCTTACGCTTAGCAGGCATTAGCGCAGTTTTTTTGTTTTTGGTTTATTCAAACAAAAATCTGCTACCAATCAAAATAGAATAACATTATTTGCAATTCACGATTTCAAATCAATCCAACGGATGATTTAATTAATTGATCAATTAATGTAAGATGCAAATAGTTGAGATTTAGCAAATTTCATCTTAAGCGAGCAATAATAATCAATTCTAAACAATTCATCTCAGCAATAACAAAATTAAAACGTGCATTTACACTTTTGAATCCAAAAATAAAATAAATTTTGCTCAACTTTACCTCTGAAAGTTTGTTCTGGTATTATTTGTTCACTGCTTCTGAAAGTTTTGCTGAATATAATTTATTTAGGGAGGACAGATAAAGATAGTGGATTTCTTAATTCCAACACTTACAGAGTTACAGGATTAGGATTTTATATGCTCAGCCCATTTTATTGGATTTTTATTTTCTGAAAATTCTTATGTGGACTGGTCTACATTAACTATTAATGTGAACCCAAAGCCCATGCCAAACGGCCCAAACCTATTAGCAATTCAGTTCTTATCCAACCCTACTCAGCCCCAATCCGAGGAAAAAATCAGCTCTGAATTCGAGAAAAAAGTAATTCGAGTCTAAATCCGTTAAAATAATCTGACTCCAAGTTGGAGGAGGATCGAAGTTGGATTTTACAAAAAATCCAAGAACAAAAATCCGATTTCAAGATAATTTGTTCCGTAATCTGACTCCAATTTCGACTTATATATAACTTAGTTTAAATTTTTTTGGGGTTACGTGTAATTTTATACTTTATACCTTGTTTGGATAAAAGGAAATAGAGGGAAGAGAAAAGGAGGGAGACATGTATATATATATATATATATATATATATATATATATATATATATATAAAAAAAAAAAAAAAAAAAAAAAATAATATATATATATATATATATATATCAGAAAAATCCGAAATCCGATTTACAATATCATTATTGTAAATCGGCTTGTTTGGACTCCACGTGCCGCTCTACTCCCCTCTCTTTCTCTCTCTATAATGCTATAATATCTGCAATGGCAACCAACAAAGGAAAGAACGTCTTGATTAATCTTTCATCATCATCTTCTTCTGACGATAATGCCGATGATTCTGATTCTGCTCCATCTTCTAGGTATAGCAATTCTCATTTGTTTTTTTTTAATGATAAATTATTTGCTGAATTTGAAGATATTTGTGAAATTTATTGAATTTGATTGATTTTTGCTGAAAATTTGGAAGAATGAAAAGTTTGAATTTGATTTAGTGGAGATGAATGTGAGTTGATTGACGATGACGATGATTACGAGATTGAAGATGATGAATCTGAGGAAGATGACTGTATAAAAGATGACTGCTATGGAAATGAAGATGATGATCATTCTCTCTCTAATCGAGTCATTCACTTTCTTCAAGGTTTTTAGTACTATTCTTTTTTGCTATTGTTTTAAAATTAGTTGTTTATCTTGTTTCTTCGTTGTTGTTTATCTTGAAAAAAAAAGGGTGGTCACTTTTGTAAAAGAGAAAAGGTCACTTTTATATGAAAAAGTTCACTTTTCGTAAAATGTTCGATATACAATAAAATTATTGTAAACCGAGGGCATACAAAAGTTTTTAACATATATTAGACTTGATTAAAATGTATTGAAGCTTTTAAAATCTGAATTGAACTTATTGAATTAGCTTGAAACCTTTTTCTTATTTGAATTTTCTAATCTTATCTAAAATTATTTGCCTACAAATTATTTAGTTTTTAAAGTGAAGAGAACACGACTTAAACATTTGTAAGATCGAGTAACATTTATAATCTAACCTAAAATGAAAAAATGGCCAATTGATTAAGGGATATGTGTGTTGTGTACTTTAATCCACTAAGCAAGTGTATCACAAAGAAAATGCAATAATTAAGAGTATAATTTAAGTATGACTAATTGACTATCCTTGTCGTTTATATCAAATTAAGATAGATCATTATTGTTATATCATTAAAGGAATGTAGATAACTAGATATCCATTACTTCATATACAAATCATATCTCAGGTCACATTCATGGAATTAACCTGCAACAATTTTATTTGGGTTTTTCTACATTATAACCCTCCAATTTTCCGTTTTCTACTATGTGCCCTCCCTTTTTGAGAAATCTACACTGTAACCTTAAAATACATTTAGTTTCTATACCGTAACCTTGCCGTTAACAAATTCGGTTACTCGGGCCTACTCACCATTTTATAATATATTTTTTTCAATTTGCGTGTTGAAAATGCTTCCGTTGAAGGTTTTGGGGGTATTTTGGTTCTAAAGGGACCAAATTGAGTTCAAATTTAGCAAAATAATAACACAAATGCGTCATTTTGCATATTAAAAAATGTTTCGATTTGCGTATTTACGTATTTAATATGCAAAACAAGACATTTGTGTCATTTTTTGTGAAATCTCACCTCAATTTGGACTCTCTAGGGCCAAAATACCCCCTAAAATCTGTAACGAAACCAATTCTAACACGCAAATCGATAAAAAAATATAACTAACGGAATTTGTTAACGGCAAGATAACGACAAGGTTACCGTATAGAAATGAAATGTATTTAAAGGTTACAGTGTAGATTTCTCAAAAAGAGGGGGCATATCGTAGAAAACGGAAAGGTGAAGGGTTATAATGTAGAAAAATCTATTTTATTTTAAATTACGGTTTTTCTTTGGATATACCCAAAATACAATCTATTTTTTTAAATCCAATAAATTTCTTTCAAAGAATACCATACAAATGAGAGGTGAAGGTTGAAAAGTGAATTATTAATGAATTATATATCATCATTTTGTAAAATACATTAAATTTTTGTCCATAATATGGATGACTTTTTGTATGGTAATGATATATTGATATGAACCTTACTCCACAAGCACACAATCTATTTTGATTATCGGGATTTATGGTTGTGTTAATTGGAATTAACGCTAGAAATTGAATAAATACAACCAAAGAGAAAGTTAAAATGTAAGATACTTAAAGATCACAAATCTCAATCGGGAAACAATTGACAGTCTTTTGTGTGTTGCTTATTTAATGAGTCCCATTAATTCATTTCAGGGTTTCGATAAACAAAAATTACTTAAATTTGCACGATTATTAGATCAAGAATTTTTTTTTAGAAGTGACGTTTCTTGGTCATTACATTATTGATATGCGCTTTATGAAGGAATTGTGTGATTAGAGCGGAATTGGTGTCCCTTTCTACTAATCTAATAGAGGTTGGGAAGCATGTTATATATCTATTGGTGTTTTTGCTATTGAAATTAGCACTAAAACTACCAGTTGCAACAAAAACATTATTGAAAGAGTTTTTCCTTCCACGGAATATGTCAAGAACAAACTTCATAACTGAATGGCTGATCACTAGTTAAATCATTGTTTGGTAACATTTATAGAAGTTAAAATGTTTGCTATAGGGTTGATATTCAAGATATTTTGCAATCTATGCTATACTAAAATAATCCCAGATAGGACACTTGGCATAATTTTGTGAAAAACTTCATCTCCAAATTGCTATTTATATTTTTTTTAAAAAAGAACAAAAATACTTTTAGTTAATTTTTATTATATACATTTAGCATAAGAATTTTAATACTAGACATTAAATGAAATCAAATAAAAAAAAAGGTGTTATATAGGTCATTTGTTTTAATTGACTATCATTAATACTAAATCAGTTTTATGAATCGGTGCATTGCACGGGATTAAAATTAGTATTTTTAGAAAATTAAATTGTGACGTGTCAATAATGTTAGATTTATAATCAAAAAATAATATTTAAAATAATGGTTTTAAAAAAACCCTAATATATAAAATATTTATTTAACTAAATTAGTACTTGTGTGTTGTACGAATGTGATAAGTTATTTTTTTCATATTCTTTTTTTTTTAATAAAGATTGATTCATAGAAAATTAAAAAGTCATAGGTCATCAGATTTAAATTTAGGGTCTGTTCACATTTATTGAACTGAGCTGAACTGAACTTAACTAAACTGAAATAATTGGAGCTTAACTGAATTGAACTGATTAGAGCTGAAGTGAACTGAACTGAATATTTTATGAGATAGAGAAATTAGGAGTTGAACTGAATCGAACTGAATGGAACCGAATTGAACTGAATTGATTAGAGCTAAGCTGAGCTGAACTGAACTGAAATGAACTGAACTAAATTGAAATTAAGTAAATGTGAACAGACCCTTAATAAATACATGACAATTGAATCAAATAAAAGCTTCCATTCAACAGAACTACGATCATTGTTGCAAATCGTACCTTCTTCATACCCTCTTTTATATCGCTGTGATTTACAACCTTTTTCGACAAGAGGGTCTATCGATCTGTTGTATTTGTAATGAAAATTTTCGTCTGATTCATCTAATTGTAATCGAAGGATTAACTTATTTTTCAATACCGCACAAATCTTTAACCATGAAACAACTTGTACCATACTATACTCAAAAAACACAAACAAAACTAGAAGAAAGCCATCATAGGGACACTTTTTACATATTTCTTGTATATCTTTTGTTGTTGATAACTTTTTTAACATGACTTGTCTCACTTTATATATATATATATATATATATATATATATATATATATATATATATATATATATATATATGAAAAAAAACATGTACATTATTCTTTCTTTCTTTTATTAAAATAGTTATTATTTAATTCTACGTCATAAGATATATTTACTATGTTTTTGAAAATATATTAAAATGATGGTAAAACAAATTATTTAAAATCGCATTATCAAATGAGCTTATTTGTATAATAAAGACATAAAGTGAAAAGGGGATTTAGGGTGATAAATTTTACTTTCCCAAAGTGTATCCCTCTCATTTATTTTATTTTTTTAAAAAGAAAACTACCATTTTTTTTTTTGAAAAAAAAAATAACTACCATATTTGTTAAAAAAAAAAATAATAATCCAGCTTTTCTTTTAAAATTTTTTCTTTGAGGGAATTCAAATTTTATATTTAGCCTACATGAAATCATCAACATTCTTTACAATAACATATTTTTTTTATCAACAATTTTTAAAAGCGCTAATAATTATTTATATATAAGAAGATAATATGTGGAAAAAAAAGAAGAGAGAATCGAGCTTGATAGATTACTTAATTATATTGCACACGCACGCATTACGTTTAGAGTGGACGCGCAACAATATTGATGTAAAGTCAAGTTTTGGATTTTTAGTTTCATACTTATATATTTGGTCTAGTTAGTTTCTAGCAAGTAAAATAAAAAGGCCTAAATATAAATTAAGAATAAAAAATTGATGACATTATAGGTAAATTTAGAGGGAAAAATTTAATTGAGAGCTTGACACATAAAACATTTTAGAAATTGATGACATGAGTATGTTTTGTTTTAGCAATAATTAATAAATTACTAGATTCATATACTGAACTTTTATAATTTTTATTTCACAAACTACTGGTTGCGGACTTTCATGCGGCAGTGGCATCCTTACTATCCTTCCACCACCTGCAAAATCCCCTTACTTCATCCTTCCACCACCTATAAAACCAAAATAATAATACTAAGAAAAAACGAAATCCAAAATCGAAACAAATCATAAATCAAAACAAATAAATAATCGAAAAAAGCAAAAAAAAAAACAAAAAAAAAACTTACAATTATATATTACAAATTGTATATCATTTCAAAGTGGGTGTTGTGCAGAATATAAGAAACTTCAAGCCAACGCAACATCCTTACAAAATCAATTTCTTCTACTCAACTATGGTCAATTATTGTGAGTACAACTTGCATATATCCCTACATGCATTTAATTTTACATCATTTGAATGACATACTATCAAGAAATTTAGATGCTTCCTTCTTAATAGGTATGTTTCATTTCTAAAAGTTACTCTTTTCATTCATCCTCCAAGATTTTTGTAATTGACTACAAAAGGAATTCATATAACATATATTATTGGAAATATCGATGCTTATGAGGCTCTTGAAAACACTACAATAGAAAAAAGCAGGGTTAAAAGCTTATGGTGGAATTAAATGATGTTAGATTAGTATTTTTACATAGTATAAACATACCTCAGTGATCGTATTACAAAATTGTATAATAAATAGGATTTTTTGACTTTTACCACCAAAAAAAACAAAAAAAAAAAATTTTTACCACCAAAACTTCTAAAACTTTTATTTTACCGCCAAATAAAAAATTAAAAGTTGTTTTTTACCACCTGTCATCAAAAACCTAATGGAATTTTCTATATTCTTTAATTTTCGTGTCAAACACAGGCTCTTTAGGGGTTTTAGGGGGCACTTTAGCCCTATAGATCCAATTTGAAGTCAGAATTGACAAAAAATGATCGGAATTATCTCGTTTTGCGTGTTTAAAAAACCTCGATTTGAGTGAACACACAAAACGAGACATTTTCGATCATTTTTTTTGTCAATTTTGACCTCAAATTGGACCCGTAGAACCAAAGTGCCCCCCTAAACCTATGAAAAACATCTTTTGCGCACAAAATTCGAAGGAATTTTTTTTAAACTGTTAGATTTACATTTTCTTGACGTTTGGTGGTAAAAAACAATTTATATACTACCTCTGTTTCATATTATTTGCAACGGTTAGACATTTCTCCTCTTTACTTTATGTCAAATCGTGACAAATATATAAAATAATGATTTTAATTTCATTTTTGATTATCTAACATACTCTAATTTTATACATTGTAGGACAAGTTACTTTGTCAAACTCACTATTTTCCACAAGACTATTCCTTGATGAAGACATTGGTAAGGTTGTATCATTCAAGAACAAGTTGTCATCAATTCAAAGTTCATAATTTTCATTTATGTAACTATTGCAATTAATTTTATTTTTTTGCTACTCATACCAAATTATTAGGAAAAATTTCCCGCAATAATCCGACCTTTTGGCCGTCCGCTGAAAATAATCCCATCTATGGATTATTTTTAAATAATCCCACCTTTATACCCACCCCGCTATAAATGATCCCATTTTACTTGGAACCGGTTGAGCAGGTAAATTTTTTTTTTTTTAAGTAGAATTTACACGTGTCACTTATTGATTAGTCTAAAAAATAAATAAAAAAAAGTAAAAAAAATCACCACCACCCCCTAAGCAACACCAATTCAGCCACCACCACCCAACCTAAACCCTAGAACCGCACCCACATATGAAACCACCGCGACGGAGGAAGGAGAGAGAGAGATAGGCCGGAATCGCGTGAAGGAGACTAGGGGAGAGAGGCTGGAATCGGGATGGACAAAGGGAGGAACGGGACCGGAATTTGGATGGGGATGGGGAGAGGGACTGGGATCGGGACGGGGGAACAGGTTTTCGAGGGTGGTTGGTGGTTTCAGGGTAAGGGGACCACGAGTCGGCGGTTTAGGGGGAGGGAGAGGGTGGACAGATCGAGTTGTTGGTGGCCGACGGCGCTGACGCTGGAGTTGGGGGCTGGTGATTTCGCGACGGAGGTTGGTGCTGTGACTGCTGTCGTGAGGGAAGGAGACGGTGGTTATGTGATGGAGGGAGGCGGGGTGTTCAGGGGAGGGGTTTCAAGGCAACGCCGGCGCCAGGGTCGGGGGTCTGGGTGACCGGTGCTACGGGATGAGGTGACGGGGAAGGCTTGGGCTGGCGGTGGTTTTTGATTATTTTTTTTTTTGACAAGTTACATGACCGGTTGGGACCATTTATAGCGGAGTGGGTATAAAAGTGGGATTATTTAAAAATAATCCATAGGTGGGATTATTTTTAGCGGATAGCTAAAAGGTCGGATTATTGCGGGCATTTTTTCCTACTTTTGCTACTCATACCAAATTATTATGGGACCTATTTTATCAGGTTAGTGTAAAATGCTTTTGCTGTCATGTGATCCGACCTGTCAATAACAAGTTCAGTTTCTATAACACAAGAGTTTCTCCAGCGACATGAACGAAAATCTGTGGATGATTTACGTGAGATTGACAAGGCAACTTATTGCATAATTCTAGCAACCATTAATTGCATTGAGTTGGAACATGGATGGTATTATTTAGCGTGCAAGAAATGCAATAAAAAGGTCAAAGAAGATGATGCTACTAAGTACTAACCAAGGTGACCAAGATACTAAAACCAAAGGCACTAAGTTCTTGTGCAAGAAATGTGATAAATTGATCCATGGTGATAAAGTCATACCAAGGTAGATATAGCATAAGTTCCCATTATATAATTTTAATCCAATTGATTTCACTGTAACTCTTTTATATTTGATATTATATAAGTTAAAGTTTCAAGTTCTAGTAATTGGTGAAAGTAGGAGTGCATCGTTTCTCATGTTTGATCGAGAAGTTGTGTCGATTGTGCACAAACCAGCTTACACTTTAAAGTTGTCAATGACAAAAGTAAAAGAGGGAAACTACGTACATATTTGTTTGATGCTTTATTGTCTATTGCTAATTAAATACTTAAATACATTTTAGACCGACGATTTTCGAAAGAGCTTGATAATCTTGTGGGGAAAGAGATTTTTGTTTAAGGTCGAGGTGTCAGATTATAATATCAAGCTAGCAAAATTGGCCCGTGTACACTATTACTAAAATGATCGATAATGAAAATTTAATACAAAATTATTTAAGTAGATCTTTTGGTTCAAACAAGGTATACAACGTAAGTTAAAGTGTTAAACAGTCACAATGCATTTATTTATTGTCTAACAACATTACTTACAATTGTTAAACAAGATCTCAATTCAGATATTACCTGACCTCCATTTACAACGACAAATTAAAGACAACCTATGAAGCTGAAAAGATTTTTCACTTATTTAACTACGTGGTTAAAATTGTTATTTTAAAATATAATAATGATACTCTTTATGTTGAATATTTTTCTTTACGTTTTTGCAGGAAGCAATTTCATGCATGGGAGACAACTATCAACGTTTCGAGTTATCACCCTTAAGTTCTTCCAAAAAACATTTGTTGGAAGTTGATTCAATTATCCCACGAGAAGAAATGTCTGCTACCAAAAAGAAGAAGTTTGAAGTTAAGATAAAAAAGGATTAGGAGTGGTAATAAAATCATTTAAACAATTAGTACTCTGTTTTATGATTTTTACTTTTATCATTTGCGTTTATTCGTGGGTTATGTTTAATTTGATTTCAATTTTTCTATATAACTTAGAAATTTTCTATATTTTTAATTATAATTATTATGCTTACTAATTATGTGCTGCAATCAATTGCCAAAATAAATACAAGTAACACTTATATGAATCAAATGATGTTGTGATCAACATAAATATTTTACTTAATTGATAATAAATTGTCTTTTAAAAATCAATCAATCAATCATCAATCAATAACTATATACTAAAAGACACACCAGTAATGACACGTGTCATCTCATGGTGTATCTTTAGTTTTTTTTTTTTGAACAAATTTATTTAAGAATCAAATCCTTTACATATATAAAGTATAATAGAAGATTTGATGCGTCTTTCCAAAAAAAACATTGACAGCTATGACTTAAATTAAGCAAAGAATAAAATAAAAAATAACATTCTTATCATATTTGTGACGGATGGAGTATTTGTTTAGGAAAGACATACATTATATATGTACGTATTATATATGTATGTCGTACATAGTACACACTACATTTATTACAATAAGATTATATATTTTCTTAATAGAAGCTAAGCTACAAGCTTCAACAATGAAATGCCCATATCAAATCAACTAATGAAACTTTTAATATTTCTTTGAATTATTTATGATGACTAGAATATTAATCAATTAATACTATACTATAATTAACTATGAATACTTCAATAAAACTTTCCAAGACCGGCACATGTTGATTATTTATAAGACCGGCACATGTTGATTATTATTAGTAAGATTTTTTTTTTTGCCAAATTTTGTTGTTCCATTCAATTGATATGAATATAACATACGAAAGTTTTTTTTTTTTTTTTTTTTTTTTTTTTTTTTTTTTTTTTTTAATATAGTGTTAATTTTAAAAATAGTTATTGGAAATTACAATATAGTGTTAGTTTTAAAAATAGTTATTGGAAATTACAATATAGTGTTAATTTTAAAAATATTAATTGAAAATTACCGTGCAGGACACGAGAGCTAACCTAGTATCCTATATGTTGAACAAGATAATGCAAAATCTTTTAATTCATATAATATTACTGTATATTGATTATAAAATTTACTATCATATACACTATACACTATAAACTATATAATAATGCATACTACTAATCTACTACCATTGTTGGTCTATAAATACGGAAACTATCAAAGTGCATAAGATAACTAATATCGATCCATTCTAAAAATAAGCTATAACCTATGAATACGGAAACTATCAGGACTTTTTATTTTGAAATCCAAAATTGATTTTCTTTTAGCCTCAACTAAATTAGGCACGTGCAATGTACAATTTTAAAAAATTATTAAATTTAAATAAATTGTTTCTATTCTTATTTTCCCGTACATACTTAAGGCCTGTTCTGAATTATTGAACTGAACTGAATTAGGATATTAGGAATTGAACTGAAGTGAAATTAAGTTGAAGAGAACAAGTCCTTATAAGTTAGATCATAATAACATATCTTTCATCATAAATTACTAAGTAACAAAATATAAAAATGAAAGTCAATCTAATGTAATCAAACTATATGCATACTTATAAATTAGTTCATTTTTTAATAACAAACATCCATGTTATTCGTATGTGACTTCTTTATAAATTGTATTCATGTTGTAATCATAAAGTGTAAATAAAAAAAGGAAAATGTTATATATAACCCTTATATAAGCATTAAAAATACTCTTGAAAATTGTATAAATTTAGAAAATCATGACAAAAACACACTAGTTCACTAGTAGAATAAACTTAATGGGCAGCCACAAATGGCAAGCGGTTATTGAATTCCTCTTGCCAAAATGTAAATGGCAAGCGATTTTGGATGAACCGCTTGTCAAAAGGCCAATGGCAAGCGGTTTTGGATGAACCGCTCACCAAAATGTAAATGGCAAGCGGTTTGAGTATTGAACCGCTTACCATTTGGTAAAAAAAAACCCTAGAAAAGTAAAACCCACTCACGCGACCTCATCTTCTCTCTCCTCCGTCCCCTTTCCCCTCATTTTCACGCTCTCTCTCCTCTCTATCCCCTCATTTTTTCTCTCTCCTCTATCTCCCCTCCATCACGCCTCAGTTCTCTCTCCTCCATATCCTTCTCTTTCTTCTCTTATCTCCTTTCTCAACCTCCCTTCTTTCCTTTCTCACGCTTCATCACAACGAAGAGCGACGAACACCGAGTACCCAGCGACGAGAATGAAGAAAACGTTTGGGTTCAGTTTTTCGGCTCGGCATTAGGGTTCAGATCGCTGCTTCTCAAGTCATATCTCACTTGATTTTTCGGTATTTCATTAAATTTTTAGCTAATTTTTGAGTTTTTGCATATATTATGTTTGTGTATAATTTAAGATTTGAACCCGGCATGTTTGTGTATAATTTTCGAGTTTTTAGCTTTAAAATTTTGTTGTTTATAATTTAAGATCTGAACCAGGTATGTTTGTGTATAATTTTTGAGTTTTTAGCTTTAAAATTTTGTTGTTTATAATTTAAGATCTGATTTTTTTTTTTTTTTACACAAAAGATCTGAAATTAAGTTAATTATTGTTGTTTATTTTTTCAATTTATTGTTTGGCATATAAGGTGAATCGGGATAGGGTGGTGGTGGTGATACGGGTTAAGGTGGTTGGTGGTGGCAGCTGGTGGCGCACGTGACAGGGTAAAGTCGTATTCCCTAATCAAAAGTAATTCCTAAATCCTCTAACTAATGTAGATAGGGAAGTAGGGTCGAATCCACAGAGAAACGAGTCTTTCTATTCCTAATTAATTAATATAATCTAGATTATAAAGTAACCAAATTATAATGATCGAATGAAACTAAACTACGAAGATTAAGAATAAGGAGAAAACAATATATAAAAGGATTTAGGGCATAGGTTCACCAATAAATAATATTCCAGGGTAAAACATAATAATCAATCATCAATGCATACATTAATCAGATCATAAAGGGCTTTCGCTACGTATTACAATCACACAATTAATTTACCGGTATTAAATCTCATCTTTCGAATCTCGACTCAACCATTTATAAATTAACCTGCCTATTGAAACTAGACCTAAACATCAATTCTCATCTGTCGAATCTCGAATCAATATTGTTAAACTCATGCATAAAAGATCTGCGCAAATCTAGTCACAGAGCATTAAATCAATCAATAGGTAATTAATCTAGCATTGACAATTAACAACAATAAATTACCCTGCATATTATTTATGGATCCCCACAAACCCTAGAAATAAAACTACTCACACATAATTAAATCTAAACTAATCAAAGCAATAAAACAAGACATGATCAAAGGAATAACATAAATAACTAAGATTAAGAGAAGAGAAATTGTTACCAAATAAATCTGGAATTAAGAGTGAAGTTAAGAACAAAGTATAAGAGAGAGAAACTAATCTAAAAGCTAAGTAAAGAGAGAAAATCTAAGAAAATTATTAAGAAAGAGTAAAAAGAAGGTATATGAAGGTACTAAACTCGTTTTACGGAGAAATATTTATACTCCGTAAGAATCCTAAACTAAAACAAACTTAAACGACGCTAATCGTTTCCTAACAATAACACGCGCCCGATCTAGCGAGGCACATCCCGATCGGGCGCGCCTTTTTCCTCCAAGTATGAATCTCGCGCCCGGCCGGGCGCGAGTTCGAGCGCCAGCCTTGCTTCCCTCGCCCGTCCGGGCGCGCCTTCGAGCGCCAGCCTCTTTGGCCGGGCGACTCTCTTGGGCCACTATTTGGACTACGATTGGGCTCCAATTCTTCGGGCCAATCTGGATTTCCTCTTCGAGTCTTGAATACTTGGTCCAAATGCCCCGCTATCATATATACCGAGCCCTTAATCACCGGCTTGATGACTCTAACCGGCCCTGGGGCTATAGAAACTGGTCGTGCTTCTCCAATGCTCGTAACTGCTCTATAATATATCGGGGAAATGTTCCAAAAGTGCAAATCCCTGCAAAAGTCAACCAAATCTACGAAAACACTAGAAAACACCAATTAGTAATAAAAGTGGCTCTAAAGAGCCGAAAACACTACTAATTATGACCAAGGGACGGGGGTAAAATACTATATAAAATAGACACATCAGCATGCGGCTAGTGGCGCGTGCGGCTGGTGGTGTGCACGGCTGGTGAACAAGAGCAGCATCCATTTTAATACTTGTATTTTTCTTTTATGAAAATAATAAAAATATTATTTTTTTTTGCGTATATTATGTTTGTGTTTCAATTTAATTGAAAAAACCAAAAAAATAATTTTTTTTATACCCATAATGGGCAGCGGTTTGACGCCAAAACCGCTGCCCTTTCACTACAAATTGCAAGCGTTTATGAACCGCTTGCCATTTAAAAGGCTAATGGCAAGCCCCCCAATGGCATGCGGTCCAAAACCGTTTCCCATTAGGAGGTTTGAACTGCTTGCCATTACGTTTATTCTACTAGTGGTTACATTGATTTACGCGTGTTTTTGTCAAGAGTGTTTTTAATGCTTATATATAGCCATAAGGGCTATGTATAACATTACCAATAAAAAAAAAAATTGATTTGAATAATCCAACCATTATACCCCATTCTTTTTTAATAGGACAAATCGATCACCAACTTACAATAGCAAGTTACCTTTGCCACGTGTTGTGTTGGGATTGGTTTTTTTTTTTTTTTAAATTTTTTTTTTTTAAAACTTTTAATTTTTAATTTTCTCCTTTCCCTTTCTTCCCCCCCCTTCTCCATGAATCCAGTCGACCCTTCCTCTCCGGCGACCTCTTCCCTTTATTTTCCCTTTCTCCTCTCCTCTCCTCTCCTTTTCTTTTTCTATTATTTCCCTTGTATAGATTGATAGCTAAACTAATTTTGGTTTTGTTTGGTAGAAGTGAGTTCACCCATTAATTCCGGCAACAAAAACTCCAAACTCGCAAAAATCCATGAAATTTCTCACCCACAATACAATCGTTGTGCGTCCGCTATCGAACCCATGCCTGAAATCTTTAAATTAAATCGGATTGGAGCTCATTAAAGAATGTATTGATATTAGTGTTGTTGTTGTAATTGGTGGCTGCTTGCGGTGGTTTAGAGGTGGCTTCTTGTGACAAGTTGCAGCTACCGTTGGTTGTGGCGGAGTAGGTGGCCATGGGGAGGTGGGCAGCGCTGGGGGAAGGCCGAAAGGAGCCTAAGGAGGAGATATCAATTTTTTTTTTAGGTTCATCAGATAAGTGGTCATCTTGGTGACTTGGCATAATAAAAAAGAATGGGGTATAAAGCTTAAATTATTGTACAATAATCAAAAGGTTGAATTATTAAAAATGAATTAGCCTTCTGGCCCGTGCAATGCACGGCTTATTCTTAGAAAATTTCATTGAGAGATGAGCGAGGAAATACCAATAAATAATTATAAGTGTAATATGTAACTAAAACCATAATTAAAGAAATAAAAATTTTGAGACTTTAATTTGAAATGAGACTTAATAAGAAGATGGAGGGACTAAAATCAAAGAGAGAAAATAAAAAAGGTTGAATTTAAGAGGAGAGATGAAGATGAAGTGTTTAATGAAAGAGTTAAGAAAAAAACTGTATAATTAAAAATAAAAAATGTAAAACAACATGTGGCACATTGAGTTGAAGAAGAAGATAGGAAAGTGTAATAGAATGATGACATATGTCTTTTTTGGTTTGAATTTTTAAATACTAAGTATAGAATACTAAGTATAGATTGGTTAAAGACTGGATTATTACTTGTAGAATTCTCTCTTTTAATTGTGATGATAAGTGTGAATAAAAAAAAAGAAATGATTATCCAAAGTGATTGACTTCTAAGACTCCCTCCTATTTAGTAGATGCACCTATAGGCTATAACAATAATAATGAAAGTCAAAGAGTACTGAAATACAAAAGTAACAAAACAAACAAAGACGCTAAGCTACATTATGCCAAAATACTAAAGAGACACTTGCGAGCAAACTATAATGAAAAAAATAAAAAATAATAATGAAAGTAATAATATAAGAGTAAATAATAAAAGTAATGATATATACTATAGTGCTACTTTTATTTAAGGATGATGGACTACGGTTTTTTTTTTTTTTTTTTTTTTTTTTTTTTTTTTAAATTTTTTAAATTTCATATAATAAGTTATAATCAACTAGAAAAATTATACGAACATGTCTAAAACTTTTCAATCTGATTACAAAATTAAAATTATAAATTATTTTTGTACAAGGTACATAATTCTTATTTATATTTATCAATCTGATTTGAACTTATTGAATCAACTTGAAACTTATTGGATTTTATTGAAACTAATTGAAACTTATTTAAATAATCTAATCTTATCTAAACTTATTAGCTTAGACTAGAGAACACAACTTAGTCTATAACTAGATAACACGACTTAAACATTTCTACAATAGGCAACATTTATAATCAACTTAAAATGAAAAAATGGACAATTGAGTAAGTGACTTGTGTATTGCGTACTTTATCCAATAAGCAAGTGTATCACAAAGCAAAAGCAATAATTAAGAGTAGTAGTATGACTAATTGTCTATCCTTATCATCTACGTAGTATATCTGTAACAAATTAAGATAGAGTATTATTGTTACATCATAAAACTATTAATATGGATAATTGGATATACATTACTTCACCATATATATAAACACAATCTTTTAAAAAAATCAGGTGTACAATAATTATTGTACATTCCTTTTAAATCTCTCTTAAAGTGATCAAAAGTTACCCCTAAAATGAATAAAAGTTACCCTAATATGTATAAAAGTAATCCAATACAAATAAAAATAATCTACGTTTTATTGGTAAATAATCACATTTTAAATGACTAAAATTCAATTATTAGTGATTGAAAGTAATTTTATCACCCTTATAAAACTTTTCTTGTTCGATTTATAAAAAAAATCATATTATGTTCAAAGTTACCCATAAAAAGGCAAAAAGTTACCATAAATTGACTTAAAGTTACCCCTATACTGCTCAATGTACACTAATATAAGTATAAACCGGATGTATACAAAAGTTTTTGATATATAAATCATATCTCATGTCACATTCACATTCATGATAATTAACATGCAACAATAATTTTTTTTTTATTTTTTTATCCAACTTTTCAAGTAATGTAATTGACACATATAAAATACTGTGTTAATTCTTCTTCAAAACATTTTACCGGTACAAGTAATTTTTAATTTACGGTTTGTTTCGGATAAACTCAAAAATTAGAGTGATAAAATAGAGTAACAAAAAAAAAAAAATTCAGTGTTAATCTTTTTTTCAACAAAATTCCAAAAAAAATTCACCTATAAATTGAAAAAATCACGTGCTACCTCTTTTTATAACTCCAACAAATTTTTCCAATTCTGTTTTAGAAAATGATTTTCAATTGATTTCAATTATTTATTTTAAAAATCCCTAATTTTTTATTTATCAAATTGATTGATGATATTCCGATTACTTAATTGAATTCAAAATTCTATTTAATCATATGAAAAATTTGTCGAAGCTGCAAAAAAAAAATTGTGCGAAATTGAAGAATTGATTGAATACGAGAGAGAAAAATGAGGATTGAGAATGAAGGAGAAGATGTATCCGCTCCGCCAAAGCATCTTGTGTTTGCTTATTATGTTACTGGTCATGGATTTGGCCATGCCACTCGTGTTGTTGAGGTAATTTTAACTTTTTAATTGGTTGATTTTGTGCTACATTGTTCTGGGTTTGATTTGTTTTTGTTCATTATTCATCATGATCATGTTAGCGTCCGTCCTTCTCCCGCTATGATGGGGTAAAAGGATGTGATAGAAAATACACTTCGTCCGAATTTTTGTCATTACGTGATCTATTAAGTTTAGAAGAATTTCAAAAATTTGGGTGAATTTTGTGTGATGTTTTCCTATAAAGTGGTTTGTTTTTTTGGGATAAAGTGATGTGTTGATAGGATGTATTGTATTGTAGTAGGAGTATTGTACTCTCTCACTTTGAAGTGCTGCATTTTGACCAAACACGCATACTAAGACACGACTTTGGTCAATTTTTCTAATTATCTGTTACTTAAAATTGTTACTTGTATATTATACTTTCTGAATCTAATCTTTATTCTGCAGGTTGCTAGACATTTGATTCTTGCCGGGCATGACGTGCACTTGGTTTCGGCAGCACCAGACTTCGTTTACACTACAGAAATCCAGTCACCTCGTCTTCACATTCGTAAAGTATATATCTTTACCTTTTCCTGGTTAAAGTAGTGGTTGTATAGTTTACTAGAAATCATTTCAAGTATGTTGTGTAGGCACAATGAGTAGCCTTTTTAAATCAACTTATAGAACTCCAATAAGTTTTTTAAAATCATCCATTTTCTAAACACTAAAAATAGATGATTTTGTGGTCAATCCATCTAGTTCTCCTAAAAGGGTATAATCTCATCAATCACCTCTTTGCAAAACAAGATTTAAATTAACTGTATGGTAATTTAACAATTACTTTAGAAGGGAGGGAGTATTAGAATTCGTATACATATTTTATGCTTGTCGAAAGGACAATTTTTAATTTTTTTTTTTTAAATTAAAGCAAGCACATAGAATGTGTATGTAGCCGTATTACTAGAGTTTACACTTTGTTTGATAGCAAGAAGAAAAGAAAGAAAGGGGGAGGGAAAGAGGAGGAAGGGGAAAGGGGAGCTCTATTTTCCCTCCAATTCTTTCTCCAATTTGGAGGAATTATACTTATTAAAGTGAGGAAAGATGAATTCCTTCCTTCCTGTCCTTCCCCTTCTTTCTCCCAATTCTTTACCCAAACAAGAGAAATTGTCCTCCACCTTTTCATTTCCTAATATCCAAACAGAGTGAAAGCATTGATATACTCCCTCTGTTCTTAAATACTCGCAATAGTTTGACTAGCACATGGCCACACGGGTTAATGCACAAGTTTGGCTTTAAATACATACAATTAAATATGAATAAAAGTTATAGTAATATATTATTTGAAAATATATACCGAGGCTAATTCAACAACATATTACACACTAAGGATCGATAACAATTGATTTTTATATAAGTAAAAATTTAGTATACTATTCAAGTTAATATATGAATAGTATCAAAGTCAAACCGTTGCGAGTATTTAGGAACGGAGGGAGCATTATCAGGCTTGACTGAGACTAAGCTGATGTGTTTTCCTACAAGGGAGTGTTTAAAGTTCTGCAGAATACAAGGAGCAGGGGAGCATGGTACATTTTTGGAGCATTCCAGAAACACCTACTCTCCTGTTTGCTGCTGGATCTAACTTGTTTTCTATGTATAACATCAGTATACACTAGACAAGAGGACAATCTGTAATACTCTTAAGAGATATACCTTTGTTAATTTTAGCTGTTTAACTTTTACACTCTAGATTTTCATTTTTTATTTATAGAGATCTATTTTGATTTACAGGTGCTCTTGGACTGTGGAGCTGTTCAGGCAGATGCCTTGACAGTTGATCGTCTAGCCTCTCTGGAAAAGGTAGCATGCAAACTTGTGAATTATGTGATTGCTTAGAGAACATCTGAGACTTGGCAGTAATTGTTTGACTAACAGAAAAGCAGAATAAACTCCTAATAGAATATAGTGCCAGCTAGGAAACTGTATTGTGTACTCTTCAGGGGGGAGTATAATTAGTTTGTATGGAGTTTTTTCTGCTATTATGTTTCATTTGGTAGGTGATATGGTTTAATAAATAACGTTGGTTATAATAGAATCTTATGTATCTTTGTAAAAAAAGGCTCATGCCTATGTCTATGTTATTGCAAATCTATCCTAAGGAATCCCCTGGCCCGAAGTGCATGTTCTTGCTCTTTATCTTACCAGTCAATACCACATCTAGAGGTGAATTTGATTGGTGGTTGAATATTTTTCATAGAAAAACATTTATAGTTACCAAGAAACATCATTACGAACATTGTCGTAAGACTTTCCTTGCACAATCACTTTTAAACTCATAGTAATTACCTCCATCTATTAATGTCTACATGGGATGTTGAAGTTATATTGTTCATAGGATATTATTAACACTTTATTTTACTAGTGTATTTTATTTTTCTTTGCTAATGGACATGAATAATGGATTACTAATCATGTTTCTGTTTGGTTTACTTTTTAGTATCATGAGACAGCTGTTGTTCCCCGGAATTCCATATTAAAGACTGAAGTTGAGTGGCTGAATTCAATCAAGGCAGATTTAGTGGTAAAAATTCTTTGCTCCTCTTTGATCTATTGGGTCTCCAAAGACCTTTATTACCTGCTCTTTTCTAATTGCTATTTTAATGAAGGGAAAGGTTTTCCTTTGCATAATTTTCTGTCACAATTGTAATATATAATGGCATATAACTACTTTGTCGTTGATCAGGTTTCAGATGTTGTTCCAGTCGCATGTCGTGCTGCTGCAGATGCTGGAATTCGTTGTGTCTGTGTCACCAATTTTAGGTACAGAGGTCCTTATAGTGCTCTACTATAATGTTGGTTGGGTTTCTTTTCAGTGTTAATATATCATTGCTTACATTCGTGGACCTGTTTTAGCTGAGATGATCAAATTACTTGCGATTTAAGTTGTTTGAGTGAGTAAACTGGTGCTTGGATATCTTCTAATTAGCAATTCTACTTTTTGTAGATGTCATGTTGCTCTCTTACTATGTGCTTGATTAATTTTTATTTTTTATTTTTTTTAAATGCTGTAGTTGTCAGTTGCCTTATACAACTGTAAACTTCCATAGGCATGGTATTTGAAATGTTTTGGAGACCTTTTTTATTCAAAAAGTATTTCTTTGAAGCACATAATTTGATGCCAAATTTTGCTGAATAATTATTATTAAAAAAAAATAAAATATTTTATCTATTTTTTTAAAAAAAATTTCTAACATGTTTCTTTTTGCAGTTGGGATTTTATATATGCAGATTATGTTTTGGCTGCTGGACATCATCACCGTTCCATAGTTTGGCAGGTATATTGAAATTCTTGATTATCACCCTTTGCACAATTGCTATTATCTTATAGCTTGGTTTTGCTCTAATTATTCTTTGCCATCATTGACATACATAAATGTTCCATTAGTTTTTTGAGAGGACCTCCTGTTCTAATTAGATGTAATTATTGTTCTTTTCACGACATTCAATCTTTCTTGGAATTAACGTCTCTTAATCTAACAAAATTCCTCTGTGTGAACATTGTCACAACTCACAAGTATAAGGAATAACACGAGATCAGAATCCAGTTGGAAAATATAATAGATTCTCCATACACTTGTAATTTTATGGAAATGATAGCAAGACAAGGAATTATATTACTTTAATTCACTACCGATTAAACAGTTGTGTATTTGGCTATTTCACATGATCTTCTACAGTATATTATGTCCCTGTATGAAGTCCGTCAGTGGGAAGAATAGAAAATTCATTCAACCCCTTTGTCGATTATTCATTTATTCTACATTTAATCTTCATGCATGAAACCAAAATTGATTAGATAAGTTCCTATGTGATAAAATTATGCCAAAATGATGCTTGTGCTCTGTATTCTCAATGACTTGTTGCTTGAGGTGAAGCTGATGCCTAGGTTGTAATTTTTAAATATGGCTGAGTAGTACATGCTTACATCTCATTACCTTATTGCTATAATACATGGAGAAACTATTGGCTATGTTTGGTATGCAGCTTTAAACATTTATAAGCTAGCTGAAAAGTTCCTAGAATCTAGCTAGCTTGTCATTTTTTTTATCTAATGAAACCCTGACTGGCAAAAGGTACAATGGCTCCCTAGAGAAGTTGGAGACTTGAGTTTCTTGTTGAATGTTGCTAATAACCTGGCTTTCTCACCGAGTCAGCCTAACTTAAGATCCTAAAATCATGCAGATCGCAGAGGACTATTCTCATTCAGAGTTCCTGATTCGTCTTCCAGGATATTGTCCAAGTATGTCACGACTCATGTACAATCATATATATGATTCAAATTGTTCTCTTAAATATTGAAATTGTAACATTATTTCTGTTTTGGCAGTGCCTGCTTTTCGTGATGTTATTGATGTACCTCTGGTTGTTAGGAGGTTACACAGATCTCGCAAGGAGGTCTGTTTCTGATTCTATCATATCTCTCTAATTTCAAATGCTATTTATTTTTTTTAATGCAGCTGCGTTCTCTTTTGTGTAGGTGAGAAAAGAGCTTGGAATTGAGGATGATGTGAAGTTGCTGATCCTTAATTTTGGTGGGCAGGTGAGTAAGAAAATTATTGAGGCTCATGTGACTTTTAATGAGTTACCTATATCTTTCAGATTAGTTTATTAGAAGTGAATATACAATAATGATGCAGACAGGATATCATCTGATAACAAAAGAAAACATGATTAAGTAAGCTTGCAATTCCATCGCAGCTACCAGAGACTATAATTATGTGTCCCTTTTCTGGATGTCTTAGTGATTACTTTCTTGGTCTTTATCAGGAGTTTATTAGAGAGCAAACTAACATTATGTGACCTTCTTTAAGCCACATTCCTATGATGGTTAGCTTCATATGGCTGTTTGGGGCTATTTGTTTTCTCTATTCCCATGATTATATCAGTTCAATAAAATTTATTTTTCAAGAAATAATGTGTGACAAAATTTACGTGGACTTACAAAGTCTAGCAATGACGATTCTAATTAAGGCCCCTATTAATTTTTAGAGAAAAATTTATAGGTTTCGCAGTCCAGTACTTGCTGAAGCATATAGATCTTTTCTGTTATAATAATTTACAAGGCATTAAGGTTGCTAAATTTGAGTCAGTCTACCTTTTTTTGCTGTTATGTGGATAGTGGGTCAATTAGTTGCAAGAGGACGATACAATCTATATGGCAACTGATTGTAGTTGTTTTACTTTTTGTTGTGGGATGTGCCCATGCTCACAGTGTTTTCCTGTCTTGTTAGTCTTTGGTGTACTCAAGGTCAGAGCTGTGCAGTTCAATCCCCTTTTTAGGTCTCTCTGTGACTCTGTCTTGTTCAAAATAAAACATAGACATCTTATCTTAAGAAGCATCCTCCTAACAACCACTTTGTCTGACCTTCGTGGCGAAAGTTGTTCAGAAAACACACTATTCATTTTTACTGCATTTGTCTACTTCTTCTCAACTAAGTGACTGGTTGGAGTTTGCCTATAGGATAAAATGATTTACATAGGTTAAAGGTGAGAAGGGCCTTCACGAGTTGGAATTTGCTAGGTATAATTGAAACACAGAGTCACCTATAAACATTCTTCTTTTTATTCTCTTAATTCTATTTCATCTAATTTTTGTCTAATGAGATACTAATTTACCCTTCCAAATTCTATAAAACTTTTCTATGTTCTGTGCATGTGAATAGAAGAGTTATATTCTGTTATCTCTGCTAGATTTATCCATTAATATATTTTTGATAGTAGCTTCTGATTGACTTAATCTTTTCGAATATGTTTAAATGGATCAAAAAAGACAGCTATATACTTCCTTTGTTCTCTTTTAGTTGCAACATTGGGCATTTCACGCTCACTAGTTCATATCTTATACCATTAATATCTGTTATTATATTTTAGTAAAAGTAATCAAAAGCTAATGTTTTGAAACAATATTTCATGACCAATTTATTTAGATCCTACATGACTATATCACAAAAGATGGTCAAAGGAATGTGTGTGAATAGTGAAAAAATTGCGATTAATAGAGAGCGGAGAGTATATTTTTTGAAAGAAAAGTTGCTATCTTTATGTATATTTCAGATAAGATAATTTTGGAAAGGGTTCTTGTGGCATAACTTATTTGAGTAAGATAGGTTATAATGTTATATCTACCTCTTCAGTTTTTTATTTGAGTATTACTTTTATCATTGTCATTTATTTGCTTATGGCAGCCATCAGGCTTGAAACTGACGGAAGATCATTTACCTCCTGGATGGAAATGCCTGGTATGAAATATGTTATGTTGCATTTTTCTTTCTCAAGTTAAACTGAAATTTTCTTTTTTGGAACTTCTTTAGTTATTTGATCTTTGTCTTTCTATCACTATTTTATCTATTTATCTATTGTATCAATGTCATTTGTACTCCACTATAGGTCTGTGGAGCCTCTGATAAGGATGAACTTCCACCAGGCTTCATAAAGCTAGCAAGAGATGCATACACACCTGATTTAATAGCAGCTTCTGACTGCATGCTTGGTGGGCACAAAATTTGATAGCATATGAAAAACTACTTCGTACTTTATTTTGGAATTCAAGTATAATTTTCATCTTTTTGTATTTCAGGAAAAATTGGATATGGGACAGCAAGTGAAGCCTTGGCATACAAATTACCCTTTGTCTTTGTACGCAGAGATTATTTTAACGAGGAACCCTTCTTGAGACATCTGTTAGAGGTGCTTGTTTTTATAATTCCTACTCATTCTTAGGGTACAGTTCCTTTCAATTATTCTCCTCTACACTGTTATATTGTACCAATTGTGGGATGCAGTTCTATCAATGTGGAGTTGAGATGATACGAAGAGATTTACTGACTGGACACTGGAAGCCCTACATTGATCGTGCTATGAGCTTGAAGCCATGTTATGCTGGTGGTGTAAATGGTGGAGAGGTATAACCATAACCATTATATATTTTTTCGTTTGCTTGCGTGTGGGTGTATGCAGTGGTTGTGAATGATTTAGGATTTATAAGTTGGTGGGGACACAGCTAATTGTCAATTCAATAGTCACATTTTATCTTTTTTATTAGTTTTTTTTTTAAAAAAAATATTGGGGAGACCCTTACTAGATCCGCCTGTGGTTGTTAAAGCTTTGTGATCTACATATCTCCTGTTCAAGTAGGTACCTTGAGTGGTTAGCTGTTTTTCCTGCCATATCTGCTTGTTTCCTAATTTGAGGTACTCAAGTCTATTATTGAAAGATAACTAGGCTATATGGGCCTTCAATATAACAAGCCATGGGAATAACACCCTATGGATAGCTAACTATACTACAAGAAGCATGCAGGCCCTAAACTTATCTCATTGCCTGTCTTATTGACTAAATAAGCACCTAATCTTGTTGAATATGGGTTATCCATAATATTTAAGCCTTGGTGTCAGAACTTATTTAATTGCTAACACCTCCTCTGCAGCGGAATAATTGGAATTACACCAAACAGAAAATGGGGAAGCTCCTAACACATGCGAGAAAAAATTATTAGAATTGAGAATACAATTCCTCTGCACCGGGCATGGATTTCATAAAATCAGTGAGGAAAATATGAAGATTTTTTCTACTAAACTTTACATTTTATTTCAATCGTTAATAGTAAAACTTTCATTGATGAAAACCCACCAACATTTACCATGTTTATCATCTCAAGACAGCGGAGTCTCTAAGACACCAACACTAAATTCTTCTTCCAATATACTAACGAGAACACTTCTGCAAAGCCTCTTCAACATTGTTATAACCAAGAATCAACCTTAAAAACCTGCTTTGCTGGTTTATTGCATCCTTATGAAAAATCTTCCTGCCTTGCTTTGTTTATATATATTTCAAACCTTATGAATTCATTTAGTCAATATTGATGTAGTTCCTTGAATGCAATTTACTATCTATTAGCACGGTTCTACTGACATTTTGGAACAGGTATTACCAAGGAAATTCATGTACTCCCTCTGTCTTGGATTTAGTTGCACTGCTTTCCTTATAAAGTCTTCTTACATTACTTGCAACATTTGTATAATTCAAAAGGATCCACTTAAAGTACGTTAAAACTCTCTTTCGCATTCCTCAAAAAGCAATGGCCCACTTCATACTAATTATATACCAACTAGCTCATTATAAAATAAGAAGCCAATTGTTCTGCATAAAATCTTACGCTGGTCCAACTAAATCTGCACAGAGGGAGTATCTGTATTGGTCATCCCGTCATCCATTTTATTTAAGTGCCCATTTCTCAAGGTTTCCTAAATAGATGGAAAATTTACTGACGGGTAATAGGAAACTGTTTTGTGTTTAATAAAGGGTCCTTTATTTGTGATGATCTTAATTACAAATACTTGTGTCTTTTGTGTCACTATGAAATTGATTTAAGGCATGACATCACAACTACTGGATTGCAGGTAGCTGCCCGGATTTTGCAAGATGCTGCTGTTGGAAAGTACTATGTCTCAGATAAAGTGAGTGGAAGTACCTTGAAGCCACTAATTTGTGTGACTCTGTCACCAGACAATACACACTAAGGTGGCAGGGTCTACGATAGGGCTTGCCCTGCTCTCCAATTGCTAATCAGTTTTCCAGAAAACTCTGTGTCATCTTCTTTTATTCTGATTTTTGTGTCACTTTTGGATGTGAATATAGCTGAGTGGTGCTAGAAGATTACGCGATGCAATTGTTCTTGGTTACCAGCTTCAAAGAATGCCAGGTAGAGATCCTGATCTCTGTGTTCCTGAATGGTATGCCAATGCTCAAAATGAAATGGGTCGTCGTTCTGGTTCTCCAAAACTTGGTGCTGATGGAGCGTTGGAGAATTTTGATAGCTTGTGAGCTTCTACTATTTTTTTTTTCTTTTTTTTTAAAATTTACGACTACATGTTTATTCATATAGACTTCATTGATGTGTTACACTTATGTTTTCTGTGTTTTGTTTTTTAGATACACAGAAAGCTTTGAAATTCTTCACGGTGATCTTCGTGATCTTCATGATACGAAGAGTTTCTTGAATAGTTTAGCAGATCTTGCTAAAGATTTTGAGAAGGATGTGAAGCATCATGCCCGGGAGTACAAAGCTGCAACAGCATTCTTTAATTGGGAGGTTGGTTTCTTTTAGCTTAAGAGCCACTTCTGCAATCATATTGTTGCGTTGTTTAGCTATGGAATGCCAAGTATTTGTATGCAAATCCTAATTGTTTTTGGGCATGAATGTCTCTAATAATTGCTCATTTTGAATGCAAATTATTGATTCTCATTCTAGTATGCAAATTAAACAATCAGTTGCCCTATTAAGTTTTATTATTGCTGTGTTCTAGGCAATTTACGATTATTTAATATTTTGCTATTTGGTAGATAAGCTGAATTTTTGAATTTTGCTTTATAGATAACTGTTGATATAAGTTCTTCCTCCCTTATTTAGGAAAAGTTAACAGTTTTTTTTTTTTTTTTTTTTTTTTTTTTTTTTTTTTTTGTGGGAATTTGTTTGTCTGGCTTACAGGAAGAAATATTCGTGGCTAGAGCACCTGGAAGGCTGGATGTAATGGGAGGTATTGCTGACTATTCAGGAAGCCTTGTTTTGCAGGTAATTCATTTCAGTCTTTGATAGCAGTTTCTATCTATTGTAAGTTTATTAGACAATGTGTTTTGAAATCTGTCATTTATTCTTTTTAGCTTTTGATTAGCACCAGGATGCCAAATTCTCTTCCCACTTGTTCTATCTGTTTGAACATTTATCCTTCTAATATGCCACGAAAAGGATTCTGTGTGTTTTTATATATTTTACATATAACTAATTACCACAGATCTACTCACTTTGATCCAACCAGCTCACTAACTTTCACAATTCCTGCAAGTAAAAATCCAGTTAGAAAAAAATTTAGTTAAAACGTCTTTCACTGTGTACCATCACCTATATTCTTATATTCGTATTATTTTAAGATAGTAAATGTTGCATCGATATTGCAGAATGACTTTTTTTGCCCTAAGCAATTGGGGATTAAATTCCTTTTGATACTAAACACATGGAACATTCAATCCTCTGTGTGCATCTGAAAACAAATTTGGGATTTTGGAAGAAATCCTTGAACCTGAGAAATGTTGGGATCTTTTGTGATTGGGTGTCTACTGATGGAGTTGTTAACTTCTAATTTATGTTTCAAAGTTGCAGAAATGCTGAATGTCACAGCATTCTAATTTTTCTTGGCCGCTCTACGGTTGTGGGGGCTATATAATGTACAGAATTATTAATTATATATTTACTACTAAAGTTCTCTATGTTGAAAATGTTATTGTTCTCTTGTTAGTATTTTGGGTATGGCTGTGAAATCATTTTCTTGGAAGTATGCTGGATATGTTTTTGGAATTAGACGCTGGCAGATGGTGTCTTATTTTATGAAGCCTTACTGATGCTTTAGCTGATTTTTTGTCATCTCTTTTTCTATATTTACTTGCAGATGCCTATAAAAGAAGCATGCCATGTTGCATTGCAAAAAAACCACCCTAATAAACACAAGCTATGGAAGCATGCGCAGGCTCGGCAGCAAGATAAAGGACAGGGACCAACACCTGTCCTTCAAATTGTAAGTAGCAAGCATTTTTATTTGATGTAAGTTTGTTTCCTAGATATTCATGTACTCATGTGGCATGGTTTTGAATCTCGGATGTTGTCTCAAACGGTTGCAACTTTTGCGGGAAATACGGATGATTTTGACTGTTATCTCGGTCACGGTAAGATCAAAATCTTTTTTCATGCGGCCATGATGCTGTGTGGAGCTGAGATTTAATACCATGTCACATTGTAAAGTTTATCAAAGTAAATGTTAATAATCTCTGTAGCTCTTGATTGGTAACTTGACTTCAATAATTCTGGTTCTATTACTCTTGATTGGTTATTTGATTTCATTTATTCAGATATTGTATTAAAATAATTCAGTAGGCTGAATATTTACCGTTATCCTAAAGATGGACGACATTCTAAATATCCTCTTTTTTTTTTTTTTTCTCACCACAGGTATCTTTTGGAGCAGAGCTGAGCAATCGTGGTCCAACTTTTGACATGGATTTGTCTGACTTTATGGAAGGAGACAAGCCAATCTCATATGAGAAGGCACAGCAGTACTTCTCCCGAGACCCTTCACAGAAGTCAGTTAAAATTGTCCACTTGCCAAATTTATGTCCCCTCTTATTAAATTCAATAGCTAAAATTTGTGATTTAATGTAGGTGGGCAGCTTATGTGGCAGGAACAATTCTGGTTTTGATGACTGAGTTGGGCGTACGATTTGAGAATAGTATCAGTATGCTGGTACAGCTTTCTTCTTTAAGTGATCATATTGAACTTTGTTGCTGTATACTTGATTTGCTGGAATAGGTTGTGTGTATCATGTGAAATTATGATCATAAATAGTTGAGAATACTGTTTACTTTGGAGGATATACAATATAAAAAGTTCACCATCACATAGAATGTGAAAATCATATGCATTTTCATTGAGAGCAGATTGGGAAGTCAGAAATGCCTATACTGACTGTGTAACTCACTTTCTAAATAGCAACAAGAAATTGGTTGCTTGATGGTCACTGGTCCTGAGATTTCTTTTCAAGTGGGGCTTGTTTTGACCAATATACTAATAGCTTCAGTGTACCATTCCCTATAATCTTATATAGATATTATAATTGATAATAAACGTTGCATTGATATTGTAGAATGATATTCTTTTGACCAAAATCAATTGGGTACTTCATATTGCTTTGGTCGTAGGGAATTTTTTTTATTTCAATTAGGGCTTTTTTTTTACCATGAACAATCACACTGTCTCTTTTCGGAATTCATTACAATTTACAAATTGACATAGGCCAACAAATGCGTATTAGGACCATTAGAAGTTAAATCCATGAAGATAGGGATGCAGAATCTTCAAGCCCACAAGCATGTGTCTTATATTTAGATCCTAATTGGTGTACAAAATCTTCTATAAATTAATTTAACAACTTTCCGAGTTCTATAATTTATAATTTTGAACAAATGAGTAATTTTTTTACCTTTTCCTCCTTTTTATTTTGAAAAGTATGAATGACCGAGTATTGGACTTGAGTCCTTCTGACCCTAGGAGACCTTGCTTAGGGAGGGGTTACATGGATTACTATGATTTATTACAGGGTATTGTACTTGAGTTGCACATTGTTTATGGGGGGGGGGGTAATGTAGGGCTTTTATTGGTTTATGGGCTCTCCTTCCCCTTAAAATTAGCTTTAGGTTGTGTAATCACATAAACCCGGACTTAGTCATCCATAATCCCCCACATTTTCATGGGAACATGGGCTAGGAAAATCCCAACACAAAGCCTATCATATTATTGTGTTAACAATCCATATTAAGCTGTCATATGTGGGATTTGTGTGGAGCCTATATAGGTTTATGAACTCTCCTTTCCTTATATTTGAGCTAGCTTTTGGGATGGGCTCCCCCATATATTTGTATCATGAGTTTAGGGCGTTGTTGCTTTTATTACTCTTGCTTGGTTTGAATTTTTTTCATGTGCGAAAAATCTAATTGGACTTATATTTGGAGTGAACTTACAGGTTTCTTCTGCTGTTCCCGAAGGTAAAGGTGTTTCATCATCTGCCTCTGTGGAGGTTGCTAGCATGTCAGCTGTTGCAGCTGCTCATGGTAATGAATTACTTGCTTACTAGTATTTGTACTTTTACTTAAACATTGGTATTTAAAATAGATTCCAATTTACGCTGAACTCATGTTGGTTTGAATTGTTCCTTACCATATGGAACTATGTGATGCTTTTGTGGCATGTTTGTGTTTTCCAAATTACCCAAGGTGCTTGAAAAAAATTCCTTCTTGGGTTTCCCAATATGTTTGCTTTGTTTCATTTGCAAGTCTATAACCTTTTAGCTTTTCACAAGCTTCAGCTGTAAATTAGTATTTGAAAGTACGTTTTATGCTGATATTACCATTTCTTATACTTGATGAAATTCATAACATTGCTATGGGATAGACAAAGCACTTATTAATGTGTTTGATATGGATTTTGGAACAATGGTATGCTCCATTGATGCTCTCTCAATCTGTATTAGGATTGAAACCTGTATATGGATTTGATAGGTTTCACCATTTCACCTTTTCTTAGCTTTATAATATATATAACTGTCAATATTTCTTGCTCATAATCATAAATAATCCTTATCATACACGGCTGAACTCCAAATGTCAACCATCCTTTTGGGATCAAGGCTTTGGTTTTGTTGTATTTGTGTAATATTGCCAAATACAGAGTATTTGTTATTATCTGTTTTCTTTGGTTTTTGTGTTTTAGAAATAATGAAGATTAATTCTGTTTACTTGTGAAAATTGCAGGGTTAGATATATCTCCAAGAGACCTTGCATTGCTCTGCCAAAAGGTTCTGCTACATTTAAGCTGTGAATGCCTTGAGATCCTGTAGTAAATATATCTTGGATTCCTAATGCCACCTTATTCTGATAGCCGCTTCTGATCTATTTTAGGTTGAGAATTGTGTTGTTGGAGCCCCATGTGGTGTGATGGATCAGATGGCTTCGGCATGTGGTGAAGCAAATAAACTTTTAGCAATGGTTTGCCAGGTAACTTATGCTCAAGTTACGGCTTAAATAGTTCAGTCTACATTCTTCCGACATGTTGGTATGACTGCTACTTTCAACTGTGCAGCCTGCTGAGGTCTTAGGATTGGTGGAAATCCCAAACCATATACGTTTCTGGGGTATTGATTCAGGAATACGACACAGGTAAGGACTCCTTATAAGCCTTGGATACACTCTTGTGCTTTTTAAGTTGAATTGACATACTAGAGCTAAACAAAGATGCCACTTTGAATGTTTATGAGATGGTGAAGCTAACCTTGAAAGAGGAATGAAATGGATACAACTGACTAATGTTTTAATAGGCTGTCCTGATTCCTAGCTGAATTGAATACACACTGTTCGGGTTCATTTTTGTTTCTTTTGGTCCTTGATATCTTAATTTTTTGCTTTTGATTTATGAACTAATTGAGATTCAGATATAGGAAGGTGTAAAGTATACTTTTCTGAGTTATAAAATTTTGGATATTCTTAATATTTGGCAAGCACTATAAAGGTCAATTTTACATTGGAATGTACCTGCTGTTTTTATTGTGTTTGGGCAATGGGTCCTTCAAATCTCAAGTATCACATGAACATCTCTATCCCATGTCTTACCTTATCAAATGAAAAGTAATTAGGAAACATGTTTTGTATTGCATTGTTATGATTGTGTGAAGCATGTGCAGAAGTGCATTCAGGTGGATGGATGACCCATTCCTCTTATTATAATATCATATCTGTTGATGAAGCTTGAGAAAAGTTGGCGACTAATTATGTTTTCACATTCTTTTGTTGTTCTCTCTATAATGAAAGATCCACTACCTATATCTTTTTCTTTGGTATCAAGAATAATTGAAATTTGTAAATCTTTTATTTTAGAACTACAGTTGGAAGAATCTTTAAGGCTGACAGATTGTGTGAAATGCCTTAACACCTTGCAAAAAATACTAAACCTTCTTAAAATGAACACTCCAGTATATGATTTGTATTCCATATTACTCTGAAGCATAATAAAGATCATTATTTAAACACCTATCTGCCTTACAGTGTTGGAGGTGCGGACTATGGATCAGTGAGAGTAGGTGCATTCATGGGGCGGGAGATGATAAAGTCTTCAGCATCTGATACATTATCTAATTCACAATCAATCAATGATGTGGCAAACTCAAGTGATGATGCCAATGGCTCTGAATTAATTGGAACTGAAGCTAATTTGGAGTATCTATGCAATCTAACGCCTCATAGGTAGGTCTTCTTGTGTTCCTGTCACGTGTTTGTTAGAAATGGAATATATTATGACAATTGTAGGTTCTTTGATATGCACCAACCTTTTCTCCATATGCATGCTTGCTTTCACTTGACCTACAAATTTCAAATTATGCACATACGCACGTGTATGCATTCATTAATGCGCCTCCCTCAGCTCTTGGAACATCTTGGGTGATATATGCTTTTGTAGCGCCACACTTTCTCGACTTATTAAAAGAAGATATTAAGAGTGGGATTAAACTATCAAGTCATAAACACTAGCATTAGCTTCTTTTCATCATATTTGTTCACTCATTCTACCTCTAGTTCCCAATTCTAGTGTGTTCTATGCTCAGAGTCATTTGATGTCTTTTCAAATAACGATATGCACGAGTTGGAGAGCTTTATTGTATTTTTTTCTGTACTGGTCACCTCTAGCAGGTCTCTTATTGCTTCCCATAAGACCAAAATTATACCACTGTGTTGATTGAAAATCCTGCTTAATTGATCATCTTTATTTTTAACAGATATGAAGCTGCTTATGCTAATGTCCTCCCTGAGAGTGTAGATGGGGAAACCTTTCTTGAAAGATATGGAAACCACAATGATCCTGTTACTGTAATTGATTCAAAGAGCTCTTACGCTGTCAGAGCAGCTGCAAGGCACCCTATTTATGAAAATTTCCGAGTGAAGGTTTGTATTTAACATTGATATTGCCTTTTCTCTTTGCTCGGTGAGGCCTTTTCTTTCCTTTGAACAGTCCTTGGATGAAGTGATCAATGATTTTCCTCCTTATGTTTGTTCTTTGCAACTGCAAATAATTACCCATAGGCTATGCTCTCTTCGCGTAAAGTGAGGTGTTTTTTGTTTGAGTTTTTTTAAAGGCTAGTGTGGTCTAAGTTTGATCTGTTCTCCTGACTTGACTGAGTTTTTACTGTATTTGTACACTAATGTATATTTATCAAGGGAGTTATTGTTACATTCGCCTAAACGTGTATTATTCAAGAGTCTAATTTTCATTATTTTTATCAATACAAAATTTAAAATGTTAGGCAATAGTCAAACAAAATAAGATCTGGTTTGATTTATATAGGAATAAGTAATAATTTCCTGTAATAAGGATAATTGAATATAGCCTTAGCTTAAAAGCCTTGATGTGTAGGTGGAAAAAATATGTTTTTAACTGTCACTGTTAAAGTTTGTACATAGAGAAATAGCTCTAGAATTGTTGTCAAGATGTTGATTTATTCATCTCCAATCTAGTGTTGGACCTAGGAATTTGTGCTTATGGGTTTAGAGTTTAACATTTGATAATATTGTTAATTGATATCAAATTCATTCGTGATTTGTCTTATTCCCAATACGTACTTAATTCCCAATTACAACCATAATTTGGTGGTGTCATTCATGCAAATTTGAAACTACAGTTATTTGATTAACTACAATTGTTAAGTAAAAGATTACAATGAATAGTCTCATTTAAAAAAAAACCATAAGAACGGATTTAGGTAGTGACAAATTCGGGATTTTTAAAAATGAGGTACAAACATGTACATAATTGGTTTTTCCTTGGGAAAAAAATTTAAAAGGTTCGTCAAAATTAGTCAATCAAGTTTAAATAAAATAATAGTAAACTTTTGTACTATGGAGAAATATAAAATTAAATGGAACTAAAAAGTTCGGGCGAGGGTTTGATCCTGCGCCCAATTGTGATATGCAAGTATTGCACGTGAGTCTGAAACCACTGAACCATTGCCATTATTAAGACTAAACTATGCGAGCAATTTGTTGTTATTTGTTTTTTAAGACTACAGATTTTTCTAACCCTTATTGAATCTGCCACTGCACTTGTCCCCAAGAGGCAATGTTGCCTCAATTATCTTAAAGATGCTATTAAAGTTTTTGTTAAATTGCTTAAATAAGCTGTATCATGTATATTATATTTGCCTAGTACTGTTATGTCATCTTCTTGTTTCATGCTGACGCTAAACTCTTCTCTCACTCATTGACATTAGGCCTTCAAGGCACTCCTGACATCCGCACCCTCTGATGACCAGTTGACTGCTTTGGGGGAGCTGATTTATCAGGTAATAGTCAACTGCTCACTATTAGTTATCATAACCTTCTTTTGTAGCAAGTAATTGTTAGGAAGCACAAATTTGGCAACGTAAAAATGCATTCTTAGAGTAATATCCTGACTTATACTATCATCATATAAGCAACAATAAGAACAAATAACACTTTTTTCAGAACTTGTTTCTGAACCCTCAAATCTGCTCTGACTGTCTGATAATTATGAGTACTCTCACGACATTTTTGCAAGGAGCTCTTTCTCAAGTGTATACTATCCCCCTTTATAATGATTAATTAACATCCAAATTAATTCTACTAGTATTAGGAAACAATTTTGCTAGAACTTTGTTTAAGAAACACACACTATTAAGATTAGGTAAAAACAAAGCTTTACTTAATTACACTTTACCTCTGCCTTGTCTGACCGCAAACTCATTTGCAGTGTCACTACAGCTACAATGCCTGTGGTTTGGGCTCGGATGGTACAGATAGGATTGTAGAATTGGTGCAGCAAATGCAGCATAGCAGATCATCTGGATCAGAGGATCCAGCACTCTATGGGGCAAAGATAACCGGTGGTGGCTCTGGAGGAACCGTATGTGTAATTGGAAGGAACTCCATGAGGAGTAGCCAAGAAATACTCGAGGTAAACTCAATTTGAAAAATTGACTAGAATGCAACCGCTCCATCTCCCCCGCCCCAAGCCATATCCCAATAATCCCTTACCTCTTTTTGTTATCCATTTTTATGTACTCGATATCGTTGCTTTGAACTTAATCTCTTTTGTCCCACACAAATTTATAAGAATTAGCTTGTGACAGATTCAGAGTAGGGACAAGCCTTATAACCCCCTGTACAAACCAGGCATCTTAGAAACAAGTTCTTTATATTTCGACTTTCTGTAGCTGTTCTAATTGAACATCAACTCGTTTCTGTTGCAGATTCAGCAGAGATACAAAAAAGCAACTGGATATATGCCATTTTTATTTGAAGGTTCATCACCAGGTGCAGGGATGTTTGGCTATTTAAAAGTCCGCTGTCGTCGATCTTTGAAATAATATTAGCAACAACTTCTTACATAGTATTTCCTTTCTTGATTATTTGGTTGTTATCTCTCATATGTGGAATTGCATAAAAGGGATACTTAATAAGTTGTAGGATTCTAAATTTAGGTTCAAACAAAAACCTTATTGTTCTTCGATTAGAAAACATTGTCTGATTAAACATTATTTGCACATTGCACCACTTCATTGGAATCTATATTATTTCTTCAACTCTTCATTTTGTTTCATATACCTATTTTAAGCACGAGAGTAGGCATCATGAATGTTAGGATGTAACATGTAAGGTAACATTTACTATTTGCATAACAATTAAGCCAACAAGAAAGAGTGCAAGGATAAGGATAACGTAACAAATGTATAAGTTGTGGTGGGCCAAATGATAGTCGATCTTTAAAATATCATTTGGCAACAAAAGTGAACAATATTATGAAATAGAAAGTGTTAACATTAGTATGAATTGCAAAGTGTCAATATCTTTGTGAAATGTGAGAGTGAGAGATAACTCAAATGGTTAGAGCTCCCCTCCCGGTCCCAGTGAAACTTTAGGAAACATATATTTTTTTTGTTGTGGTACAAAGGTTTTTTTTTTAAAGCTTGCAATGAGGAAATTAGAATATGTAGACCTAATATTCATTAACATATTACCAGACCACCCTCAACCAACTAATTTTCATTAAAATACAAGCTTAAAGTCCTAATCTACCCTAATCAGCTAATAATAACAACTGAAAATTAACAATTAGGCATTGTCCATAGAATTGAGAGGTTTAAGCCCCCTTAACCTCTTCCCTTAATCTAAAGTAAACAAAACTCTATTATGTACTTCGTATGAATTTTAGCAAGTTTCAAATCCTTCTTCTACTAGAATGCATCCTACTCCTGTCATAACAATCTTCTAATTAATTCAAAATTTTATCCATATTAGATGATCCTCAAAATCTACTAATATTCCTTTTATCTTATCATATTGAAAAAAAAAACTTTTTTCTACCTCGATATGAATTCGACCTGAAGTCAAACACCCAACAAACACACTATATATATGGGTTCATACAAACTACTTTTCCATCAACCAAACTAGAACAAACACAACCAAAAAAAAAACAATGGCTCGTTTTCTTCTTGTTCTCTTAGCAATAACTTTCATTCTCTCAATTTCTTCATACTTTTGCGTTGCAACAGACACTCCTGCTACATCCTTCATCCAAAAAACCTGCAACGAAACAACTTACACAACCCGTTGCTTAAACACCCTCCTACCCAACGCAGACCGCATCAACGGCAACACCAAAAAGGCCACACGCCTCGCCATCATGGCCACCGTAACTGAGGTTCAATCCACCTCAAACGACATTCAACACTACGCTGATCTACTACCCCGAAGATGGACTCACGAAGTCGAGTCCCTCGAAAACTGTCACACTGATATTGCTGATTCAGTCGTTGGGTTGTACACTGCATTGGAGGAAACTAATCACTTGGGTGGTGGCTCGAAGGATGATAAGGAGTCAAGGAGGCTAAACATGGAGAACAGTGTCAAATCTGTGGTTAATGCTATTGATGATTGCGCGAATCATCTTCAAAAATCGAAAGGTGGGTTGATTGTGGTTAGAAGAGTTGAAGAGATTTTGCAACCTCTTAACGAACTTGCTACTAATGCTGTTAACCTCGTTCATCACATGGAGTTTTAATTTAAGTCTAATATTACGTACGTTTAAATGTACTCCCTCTGTTTCTTAAAATTCTTTATGTTATCCGACTTTGGTGCTTAAAGAAACGGAGGTAGTAATCAATTAGTTAATTTAATTACCTTTGTTTTTTATTTTTTGTTTTTTTTTTTAATTTTTTTTTTATATATGTAGTTTTAATTTGATTGTTTTACTACAATAGATTGCAAAAGAATATAATATAATTGTTTATGTTTTCCCTTTACTATAAATGGTTGTACCTTTTTTATTTATAATTTTGTTGCATGTATAATTTGGTTGCATTATATTGCTTGTCCAATGATAAAATACAATACAATATTTCAATATTTGTCATCTTTAATTACATATTAGCTAATTTTAATTTTAAGAAAATCATTGAAACGAATTAAACAAATTCGTTCTCATATAATAAAATTTTGTTTTTTTCCTCATTAGACAAAGTTTTCAAACTTTGGCCTCAAAAAGTTTAGTAATTAAAATTTGTGAGTATTTGTTAGTTGCAACTAGCTATTGCCCCTATTATCAAGGGTTATATTGTATCCTAGCCTTATAATAATTACCATGATAGCAAAGTATAATTTAAGATGTTAAGCATAAATTATCTACTATCCTTGAATTGTTATCTTAATTAGGTGTACAAAATAATGTATCCTACATATACAAAACCTTAATATATAATTAGAGCATTGCTAGCTGCTTAATGTCAATAGGGTATGCATACGAATGCGAGTCGTCGTTGTAAGCCTTCTTAGCAAGTATGATGTGAACCAATTCAGATGGATGAAAGGCATCCCAATACAAGTACTTCTTGCGATCTGCACAAGGAGTCTGGAATGGAAGGCATGTAATCTCGCCGCCATTCGAGTAATTCCCTACTCCACAACATCCTACATCTATCACATCAAACCCTGAAAATAAAAACATACACCATATTAATATGTTTTATACTATATCACTTTTTCTTAATGAGATTCAAATCCGTAACCTTTGTGTCACACTAGCTCTGATACCATGTTTATAGACCAACTCAACTAAAAGCTTAAGCTGATGGTTGAGGCTCAGAAATATGTTTTATACTCTATCAGTGAAATATGAAACAAGCTAAGTTTAAGATGATAGTTAAGGCCTAAGAGTGTGTTTTATACTCTATCACTCCCCCTCACATGAGAGCTCGTCGTGCTTGAAGTGTGGATGTAACATAGGCCAAGGAAGGGTGGATGAGATCCGAACCCATAACCTTGTATCACGCTGGCTCTTAGTGAACCACCTCAACTACACAAAAGTTTAAGCTAATGGTTGAGGTCTAGGAATATGTTTTATACTATATCAGTAACCTTGAGGTCATTACGTTAAATCCTCCCAACTGCTTGGGAGTGAGGTCCTTTACCAAAAAAACCGTGAAGGTTGAGGTCAGATTACGTAAGAAAAAGAATATATACCGTAAAATTGCCTGTTAGATTCGAATTCAGTGCATTCTCCAAAATAATCCAAGTAGACAGATTTGGCTCCAGGCAAACGACCATTGTTAAAAGTATCAACCAGGTTTCTAAGGCCGATATTGAAGAAGTTGACAAGATTATTTTGATCTTCATTACAAGGTCTTTCTCCTGTCACGTTATCCTTCAATCTATTGATAGGAATGCACCCCATTTTCCCAATTCCTGGTAATACCATCTTCCTAACTCCAAGATTGTACAAAGCCTGCATGTAATATATATTTTGATATCAATTGATTAATATATATGTTGAGCAAAACAAGTTATATGCATAATGAATGCAAAACTAAGGGTTTGTTTGGCATCAATTTTGGTTTTCAGTTTCTTGTTTTTTTGAAAACCAAAAACCAAAAAAAGAAACAAGAAAAAAGTGTTTCCACTTTTCTGTTGTCAGTTTTCAAAATTATCATAATTTTAATAATTTTATATAGTTTTTTATTCATTATGAGACTCATATCATATACTTATAGAAAACAAAAAACCAAAAAACAGAAAACCACAGTAATGCCAAACGAAAGTTAGTAATTAATACTTATGCAGTTTTTTTTTTTTTTTTTTTTTTTTTTTTTTTTTTTTTTTTTTTGACGCAAAATACTTGTGCAGTTATGCTAACTATATAAGTTGATAGAATAAGATCAATCTACGTTGTTTTCGTCTTATTTTGGAAACTTGTTGCTTATTCTTACTAGCTCCCAATTTAATTACTTGCACTAGCTATTTGCCTATATGTGATGCTCACTATTATTTCACTCGCATAAAATCTTGTGCAAATAGTAATGGGACAAGTAAATTGAGACGGATAGAGTATTAAAATCACACCAGGTCTTACTTATATCATATTTTACTAGATGATCATGGTCGAGTTTAGAGTTCGGCTTAGATCTAAAAATTCAACCTAGGGTCGGTCATATATATTCTTGTCAAAAATAAGTCGGACCAGTATAAAGTTATGGATAATAGAAATTAAACAAACCGTAAGTTGACGCTCGTAATCTTGAAGAAGGGATCTAGCAAACTGAGGTGGTGTGAAAAGAGCAGAAGTAGGATATTGCCAAGGCAATAAATAATTGTTGAGGTAGTCATTGTTTCCCATTCCAGAATAAATGATACATTTGCTTAGATAATCTTGTACGGCTTTCTCATCTCTTCTAAAATGCTCCCTTATTTGTTCAATCACCTTTTCGAAGTTCCTTATTTGTCCATTCATTGGTACATTAATTCCCTGCATATATAAGAATTGAATAAACCTTTCTAATTTGTAATTAAATTTATATAATTAAAATGCATGATGTTTAAGCTAATCTAGCTAAGCTAGAACTGAGTTCTAATGATTAGTCCAATGCTAATCAAATCCAATTGAGACTAGCTACATGCCTACATGTATTTAAGTTCAGCAAAAATAATTTCAGTTCAGTAAAAATAAAGTGAAGTAAATGGGGCCTTAGCCATGTTCATTTCACCTTTAAAAAATAATATTCAGCAAAAATAATTTCAGTTCAGCAAAAATAAGTTCAGTTCATTAAAAATAAGCACAGTTCAGTAAAAATAATTACAGTTCAGTAAAAATAAGTAACTTTAAAGAAGAATTATTACAGAAATTCAGTAAAAATAATTTCACTTCAGCAAAAATTAAGTAAAGTGTAATAATTATTATTAGTATTTACTAAATTGGATTAGTAAGAATTAGTTTTAGTAAGTATAAGTTTTTATTAAAGTTTTAATCAATAAAAATTAGTTTATTTAATAAAATTAAACTTTTGTAAAGATCATGTGAATTAAACATGACCTATAATTAACTTTTAATAATGTTTGATCTTTTTAATAATTAAATTATTAAATGAGGTTACTGAAATAAAATTATACTCTAAGAAATAATTTATGAATATTGAATTCTACAGATTACAAACACTTTTAACTTATTAAAACTGAAATTTTCTTTCAAAAAAAAAATAAATAAATAAAACTGAGAATTTTAGTGAAACTATAAACTGAGAATTTTAGTGAAACTATGTTTTTTTTTTTTTTTAAAAAAAAAATGTTAAAAGTATGAGCCTAATTTTAGAGAAAATAACATGCAAAAAAAAAAAATGATCAAAGATGTAATTTGCAAACAAAATAGAAAATTTTGTACCAGATAATTGCCAGTCTCATCTCTAATCCCAGCTGCTCCTGATGCAAAATTAGCTCCCTTAAGGAAGTCACCAACATAACTTGATGATCCTGAAAATGGAGGAATGTAATCCACAAATCCTAGAATTTCAGCTGTAACACCACCCGATTAATAAATACATAGTTAGTTACAAAATGTTATTAATAAAAAAAATATCAAATAAACATATGATAAAAAAGTACTTATTTGTCATGAAAACAACATTCCTTTTAAGACCATTTTTCTATACATCATACACATCTAATTTGGTGCTCATAAAACGTACTAAACATCGTCTAAACCACAAAACTTCAAATTTAAAAACAAACTTCAGTACAAAATAAGAGAGAATCCAACTCGCTGTTTTAAAATAAAATAACATAGTACATGCAAATTGAGAGAGTCCATTCCGCTTACCCAAAACATCAACAAAAGTTCGACCATTGGTAAAACGACCGGTAGGCCCTAGAGGGAAATCGATACCATAAGGCCAAAAATTAGATTTCACAATAGTGAAAATATTATTGTTGTTACCATTATCAACCAAAGAATCCCCAAATACAAAGATACAAGGTACATCCACTTCCATGTCTACTTGTATTGATGAGTTCCATGCCTTAGCCGTAAAACACAGCATAATTAATGTGATAACACCAGAAAAACAACTTCTTTTGTAACAAACCCTCATTTCTATAATTTTATATCAACCTTTTTTTTTTAATTTCTTGAGAAAACATACCACATTTATCTAACATATATATAGTTGGTGGTGTCATGGAAATCATGCATGTATGTTTTCTACGGTTTTATAAGCTAATAAGGTAAGGAAAACCCGCACTACTCAACTTCCTAGCAAAGAATAGATAAGGCTACGTTTAGTTGACCATATTTTAACGCCATTGTTTTATTTAATTTGTGTGTATGAGTTTAAATAAATTTAAGCCAGATTATTTCATATTTATCAAAAAAAAAAAAAAAAAAGGTTAGACTGTCAAAAATAATAAAGTTAAATAGATCTATAATATATTGAAAAAAGGTTTCAAAATATATATATTGAAAAAAATTCTATAAAATAATTAAAAAGAGAAAATTACTTGGAATTTGTTATGAATGCATGACCAGTTGTATTATTAGAGACTAATTCTTCAAACGGCCAAATCAGGAATAAAACTAAAAGGGTGAGTCCAATACTAAATTGATGCATTTTTCATGGAAAAGATGCATGCACAACAAATTCCAAGTAATTTTCCATGAAAAGTGCATCAATTTAGCAATGGACTCACCCTTTTAGCTTTATTCCCTGATTTGGTTGTTTGAAGAACTAGTGTCTAATACAATTGGTGACTTGGTGTCACACACATCATAGCTCAAATTATTATTATAGCTTTAGATACAAGACATTGTCTCTATATCTGGACGCGTACAAGGATATGTATTCACGAATTGAAACATACCATGGTTTATCGAGAGTTAATTTCCACATTTCCGTTTGTATTGTCCTTGTAGCTCATTTGTCAGGTTGCATCTCAAAAAATTAATAAATTAATAATTACAAATTTGGACCAAGCTAGCGATTACATTGTCCCTTTTTCCCTCAAATTTTAAAAACTCAATTCCTGATTTTTTCTCCATTTACTTAAACCCTTTTTTCCTCTTGTATACCTCTGGAAGCAACTAATCGAAACGCATATAAACGAAACATATAAAGGTAGGAGAAGGTAGACATTAAGGCAGTGTTTGGTTTGATGTAAAAGGTTTTCATGGAAAATGAGTTTTCATTTTTTTTCCCATTTTCCTTTGTTTGGTTTGTTAAGGGGTGGAAAACAATTTTTCCAAGGGTGGAAAATTCCATCCTTTATGATGGAAAACATTTTCCTTCCCAAAACCAATAGGTGGTTCCTACAGGCGCCTGTACGGTGCAACGTACAGTCGTTTTGTAGGAAAGAACATGATATATAAAAGTAATGAACATATAATTATAGTGAAAAGAACATACTATTAAAATGTAATGAACATATACCTAAAGTAAAAATAACATACTATTAAAATGTAATGAACATATATTTAGAGTGAAAAGAACATACTTGCACCAAAAAAATAAATAAAAAGAACATATGTTTATGTTCATTGATCAGTCAGTGTAATGTACTTTATTTGCAACATAATGATCATTGCTTAATGTGAAATGTTTATTAAATTTTGTCTTCAAATTAGGGTGGTTATATATAGATAAAATTTATTACATAATATTATCATGTTCTTTATTAACACTGCAGATGTTCTTTAGATATGAAAAAAATATATAAAATTGGATGTTCGTTACAAAATAATTATATGTTCTTTACAAAATAACTGTATGCTCTTTACAAAATAGTTACATGTTCTTTTTGCATTTTTTGGCTGTACCAAAAAAGGTATAGCCGCCTGCACCTTAAAATTTTCATCCCAAAACAAGGGAAGCCACATTTTCCTCTCTCTTCCTTACCTCCTTTTTTTTTTTACTTCCCTCTCATTCATCCTTACATTTCCACTCTTATTTTTTATTTTTCTTGGACTTTTCTTGTATGCAACCAAACAAAGGAAAACTAATTTGCAATTGTGTTTTTCCTTGAAAATATGTTTTCCATGAAAACTAATTTTCCATTGAAAATGTTTTACATTAAACCAAACGGGGCCTAATAGGTAAAAGCAAATTGTTGATAACGTACAGAAATTGCTACTACAGAGTAGAAATCGCTTTTGTTAACTTTTTTTTTTTTTTTGGTGTTCCACCCGGTTCACCCTTTGCTTTTGTTAACATTTGAATAGCAACAAGGATGTAAGCATGGTCAGCCTTCCTAATGATCTTATGTAGAAGATACTGTTAAAATTGCCTATATTGTATTGTCTGACATAAGTCAAGACAGAATAAAGGAAGCATGGTAAAATAGCAACTACAAAATATAGCCAGCTTAGAAGCTCTATTAGATAGAATGACCTGCCTAATAAGGAATATCTGCAGTCTGATTGGCATTGCTATAATATATATGATCATGAGCTCATTTGCTACAATTAACCAAATTCCATCAATGCCAAGTAAATGTTACACCATTGAATAAGTTCCAGCAGTTTCATGTTCAATTAGAAACCATAGCTCTACCATTCTGTGATGGAATTCTGACGATAAATGACAAGAACTGGAGAGCTGATGGCAGTACAAGAGGATCATGAAGATAATTACTGTACAGAGCAGCAATACTAAGAGAAGATGGCGAAGCTGTGAAGCAGAACACAGGCTTGAACCAATGGCAGATCAGGGCATGGATGATTTCCCGCCATCAACGGATTGGTAAAAGGAATTATATGTCTCCACTCTTGATTTTGATTCAGGAAGCTCAAGTTCTTCCACGAATTCCTTAGTCATCTCGATAAAATCCTTCATATGAGCAGATTTCCATTTCTGAAAATGTGCAAGGGGAACGAAAATTAGAGACATCCTAAACCTTTTAAAAGAACATACCATCGTCTAAGAATTGAAAGTTTAAGAAAATCATACAGTAAATAACTCCATCTTTGAGCAAAAGTGCACACTAATAAAATTATTCCATTAACAACATGCCAAGATAAGAATACATGCATTGGGAATTCTGCAGAGTTCACAGGGAAACTTCACTTGTGAAGCATATTGTGCTGATTAGACCATAGCCTAGAAGAGAATTAGACAGGCTAAGATGACATCTGAAAGTTCTAGATGTCTGATGTTAGACCAAACAAGATGATTTTGGACATCCTACATCAGGGCTAATGGTGAATGTTGTCTTTATTTCATTTTTTATTTCTAAAGCGGATCAAGTTGTCAATAATTATCCTTTCTAATCAGCTCCCAAGACCTCCCAACCCAAAGATTTACACCATACAACCAATTGTACCAAGGTACAACCATGGATACTTTTATTTGCCTGTGTGTTCACAAGGTACAAGCACACACTATGGTACAAGCACATACCAGATTGTACCTTGTAAATTGCCCTCTCACAGTAATCTCACCCCATTAATAACGTAATATTCTGATATAATCCAAAGAGTAAGGTAGGCTATGTTGATCAAATAAATCAGAATAGAAGCATGAGGCTCTTGAACTTTCTCTCTCTCCCCTTTTCGCAAGAATATTCCTTACAGGTTATCTAAATTTCTAACATCACTATGCAAGTACCCATGACATTGCACAAGTCAAGGTGTCGAACCATCGAAAAGAGCTCAATATTTTTGAGAAAAGAGAAGAATGAACACAAGAAGTAGTTCACCATCATAGATTTCAAAAATGACACATTTAATTGAATACACACTACTTTCTGCGAACACCATGAGACATTTGGAAGTTATCCTACAAAGAGAGGCTTAATAGTTATGGATTTCGAGTATATATGGATAGGGTTAATAATTATTATACAACAGTTGTAACATGGATTTTGCTCATATATGTTTCAAGATGTAATTCACTGACCAATGATTCTAATCATCCAATCCAATTGGTGAATCAACCAAGGTAACCCAAACAAGCCTTATTGGTAGTATATTACTGATCATTGAAAAGTGTCCTGCTAAGGTGTAAACATTGTTATAGTGTTAGGATTAATTTACAGAACTACAGTAATTGTGGTTCAACGCTGAATATGGAAGGACTAGGATAATAATTTTGGGCCTGGAATCATTTTCTGAGAGCAAAATGGTCAGGATTTTTCCCTTGCATGACCCCCACCCCCAACAACCTTTACCAGAAGGAACAAGAAAGAGTGAAAGGAACTCTTGATAAAACAGTTAAGCAAGAAAGGACCACCAATTAGGCTCCAACTACAGGAACATAGGGATTCGCATAATACATCAAACACTCAAATCCTTGGTAAGGCAGAAGCAATGATGTTAATAAATAATTACCAGCACAACAGCATGGTTCAATTTCATGTAAAATGGATGACACAATCCATGTTATACATAGTATACATCTAAACTTACTGCAGCAGCAGATATGGGCAATAGAGCATGGATCTCCACGATTTGCCAACAAGTTCATTGGATACTACAACCAGTGGATATTCTAAGATCAAACTACTTGTAATCAACTTTTAGTCATATTATGGAAAGCAACTCTCCAGGCCAGAAAGCGAGGCATAAGTTTGTTCTCTTGTAAACTTACAATACCCACTTACATTAAAATAACTCATTTTCATATGCTTATACTGAAGCCAGGAAGACATCAAGTAGAACAAAACAATGCTAGACCTCGGTATGTTTTACCATACCAGAGAACAATATTGTAGACCAGATTGTACTACATTTAAATATGCATCTGCATATGCGATAAGTGAAGTTAGTAAGATTGTGTTGCTTTGAAGTAGATCAAATTGCTTAGATTCCTTTAAGGATCACTTTTTAAGAGTTCTACAAATTATACGATGTATCAGATAACACAATACAGATAAGCTATAAATTCCAGAGTCCTGAGCTTAACCCACAAGAATACATTTCACCAACAAAAACAGGTATACAGGTATAACACAGCTCCCCACCCCCCACCCACACACACATATACAAACATGCATACATCTACACTGACGGAAAGAAAAAATTGAAAAATGTAGAACTGTACCTCTTGAATAACAAGGGTGAATTATAACTACAGAGTAATAGATAAATGAATAACAGACGTGAAAAAAAGGGGGGGGGGGATACCTCAAAATCCCAATCTCCATACAGGTCTGGATCGTTTTTATTATTCCATACATATGCATATGTCTGCAACTTCCCCAAGTTGTCCTACAAACAAACATTCAGTCACACATGTAAGATTGTCAAATTATACACACATAGCAACACAGTTATAATAAATTCAATATTTCAGATGATATTACAAGTTTTGAAACATTACGCATATGTCCAAGTTAAACAGTTGAACTAACAAAAATGAACTAACTTTTACATATCAGCAATCAAAGTATCTAGCAATTTATCATTTGGAAATCGGTGCAGCTCAGCTGATAACAAGAAGATATTTAAGTTTTTAGGGCACTAAGGGCAGTAAACGATCAGGAGAATTGTGATCGGAACTTCTCTTTAAAAATTCTCATATAAAGTCTTTTCATGTAAGATCAAATGATGAATTAATTTCTTAGAAGATGTATCAACAGATACAAAATTCTAGTTTCCATCATACACCCATCAAACAATCTAGACGTAACAATGTAGCATCATAAGCATTTCAAAACTCAAGATCCATATGAAAGAAGAAGAATAAGAATTTACCACAAGAGTGACTTCTACTGTATCTCTAACATACTCAATATCCTCAAATATATCCAGAATATCCAACTCAAGGTTTGTGACGCCCTTCAAAACCTGTAGCAACATCATTACCAGGAATAAGTACATAAGAAATGCAAATTACACCCGAATATAGGATAGACACCTTGAAAAAAAACAAAAGCATACCCTGCCAAGCACTTTCTTGTTCTCAACAGGCAAAATTGCTGGATAAACTCGACCTTTGATGCTAAATCGCTGACTGCACAAAAGTCATGCAAGCATTTACCAAAAAAAAAACCCAGAAAAACAAGATACAATCAACAAAGTATAGTAACAGACAAGATTACACATGAAATAACATTTCTTTTAATCCAATTTCCATTTAATCACAAATTAAACCTATCCAATTCAGCAATCTTACATACTTGTAAAAAATTAGGAGTCAATTTCCAATCTTTAATCACAAATCCATCAAGAGACATTCAATTACAGTCCACAAAAATAAAATTAAGCAAATACCCATATCACAAAATGTAAAAACAAGTAAACCCATTTGATCAAATCATCAAAACATGCAATTAAACCATAAATAAGAATACAATTGAAAGCATAAAACATGCAATTAAGAATAAGCAATGGAATAATTAAAGGGGAAGAGAGAGAGACTGACAAATCAGGGAGGGTAGCAGGAGTAGAGGAAGGGACACGATTGAGTAAGACTTGAACGACTTCATCAGCCAAAAGACTACCATAAACGAAAACATTGTGGTATCCTTGAGAAGTCCCTCCTGTAGTCATGCTCATCGCCATCTTCTCCCTCAAATTGGGAGGTTCAGTTTTGAGCACAACAACGAATTGGGAGGAAATGGAGGATGTTCTTCTGTGTTGTACTGCGTATTTGTTGTTGCCAAATGTCAAATGTCGGGTGCTTTAAAGATTCTAGGATGACCAAAGTAAAGTGAACAGATTACAATGGGTGACTCAAGACCCTCCCCACAATACTCTCTCAACTATTTTGAGCTAGCTCACTATTGTAAAAGGTGAGTCATGGGTGAGGCTCCCCCTCTTTCAAGTCACTAACTGCTCGGCACATGAGCCAAGTAATATACAAGAAGATGACATGTGGAAAAATTTTGCATTTTTCATTTAATTTTTTTACCCATAATTAATAATTCGTACTCTGTATCAAATAATTTTTTTAAAATTGTAGTGAGCTAACTCACCATTGTAAAAAAAAAAAAAATAGTAACTCAAGTAAGTGAGATATGATATGGAAGAATTAAAATTGGAGAGAGAAATTGTGAGCTACTCCACCAATGTGAATGCTCTTAGGTTTTTGTTGTTACACTTCTCTTTTCACGCGATATTCCACTTACTTGAGTCACTATTTGTTATGCATGCCGGATCTAATAAAATTTTTACAAGACTATAATTAGGAATGGCAACGGATCGGATTAGGACGAAAAATCTGATCCGACTCGTAATTTTCGGTTCCGAATCCGGTCCATTAATACGGACCTCCGAAATGATCCTTTTTTTTTTTTTTTTGTAATGTCATATACCTATAATTGCTTGTATTATCATACCAATTAAAAGATAAACCTAACATATTTTAATTATAAACTAAGGGTCTGTTCTCATTGACTAAACTCAACTGAACTGAACTGAACTGAATTGGCTGAACTGAACTAAACTGAACTGAGTTGAGCTGAACTGAAATGAATATTTTATTAGAGAAGGAAATTAGGAGTTGAGTTGAACTAAGCTGAACTGAACTGAACTAAACTGAGCTGAATAGAATAGAACTGAACTGAACTGAATTGAATTTCAACGTAAGAAAATAGGTCATAAGTTACATAACAAAATTTTGCTACAAAACAAGCAAATAATTGTCCCAAGTTATAGAGCATATGCTTATACTCTCGGATTTGGACTGGGATCGGACTCCGTCGGACTTTGCATAGGGTCCAAGTCCAATCCACCTCCTATTTGGATTCAGATCTAATTTATCGGATTCGGATTCGGATTCGATCTAATTTTAAACGGATTCGAATCGAATTTTTTCCTTTGGATCGGATCGAATTCGAATTGAACTCGGATTATATTGCCATCCCTAACTATAATTCTAGTCAAAATAAATAATATAAAAGTCAAACTGTTGTAAGTATAAAAAACGAAATTATATAAAGCACAGAGTAACTAAATATTGTAATAAAAATTTAAAACATACTAAAAGAGCTCAAATCAAAACCTTATCAGTACTTCCGAACAAATGGAGGATATCAAATTATCAATACATCATGCCCTCTCACTTATTAAGCTTCTTAGGGTTTTAGGGTCTGTTCACATTTACTGAACTGAGCTGAACTGAACTGAATTGATTGGAGCTGAACTGAACTGAACTGATTGGAGCTGAACTGAACTGAACTGATTTGAGTTGAAATGACTATTTTATGAGAGAGGAAAATTAAGAGCTGAACTGAACTGATTGGAGCTGAACTGAACTGAATTGAACTGAATTGATTGGAGCTGAGCTGAACTGAACTGATTGGAGCTGAACTGAACTGAACTGATTTGAGCTGAAATGAATATTTTATGAGAGAGGAAAATTAAGAGCTGAACTGAACTGATTGGAGTTGAACTGAACTGAACTGATTAGAGCTGAACTGAACAAAAATGAACTGAAATTAAGTAAATGTGAACAGGCCCTTAGTTTGATAAGTTGGAATGCATTTAAAATCAAATGTGATACACTAAAGTAAATATTGGAATGGGAATATGGGATGGAAAACAAATATATTTGGAATCTAACATTAAAGTACAACATAATTCATAGTTAGTTTACCTTATTTAACTTTTTTTTTATTATTTTTTTATTAGGAAAGCACAAGTCATAATTGCATAATTTAAGATAAAAATTTCCTTACTTAGGGCATGTTCTTTTCCGTTGAAATTCAGTTCTTTATGTCTAATGATATTGCTCATGATATAAAGCCAAATTTCATTCTTTTAAGCTCTTATTACAAAAACAACAACAACAACAACAATAATAATAATAATAATCAATAAGTAATAAATAATAATAATCATCATCAATAAAAAATAATAATAATAATTGAAATAATAATTGAAATAATAATACTAATAATAATAATCAATAAATAATAATAATCATCATCAATAAATAATAATAATAATAATAATAATAATAATAATAATAATAATCATAATAATCAATAAATAATAATAATAATAATCATAATAATCAATAAATAATAATAACAATAATAATAATAATAATTAATATCAATAATTAATAATAATAATAATAATAGTAGTAATAATAATAATAATAATAATAATAATAATAATAATCGGTAGTTAAAAATCACTAATTAATAAGTTCAGTTCAGTTCAACTCAGTTCAGTCGGAACAGGCCCTTAGAGTCATGTCATCAATCCACAATCAATTAATTCCAAAAAAATAAAGTTATAAATGAAATATATTCAATATGGGTAGATTTTTTTGAAACGCCTAAAATAACACATGAGACTAACATTATGAAACGAATAGACTATTTCCTCCGTTTCTAATTACTTGACTAACATTCCTAAAATGGAAATGTCATAATACTTGAATGATTTACAAAAGTATAGCTTTTTAAAAACTTATTCACGATTTTGCGTTGGAATGAAACTTATTTACGAAAATACAGTCCACGTAGGCTCGGGAATACATTTAAGGCAAATTTTTCTTTAAGTAGCGGTTTGTCTTTAGTACTACACAAGTAAGGATACGGAGTAACAATTTCTAAAGGGTAAAACCGCATTAACCGCTACTTGAGGTAGCGGCTTTACTCTGGAAAAAAAAAAACCTTATCCGAGCTTACGTGGACAATTCCGATGCAAAAGTGTAAATAAGTTTTCAAGTAACCATACTTTGGTAAATCATCCTATTACTCGGCCCATACTATATTTGGTAAGCTTTGGTAGATAAATTTTCTATATTATTACCCTCATAAAGTGCACATGGAGACAACTTTTAGGGGTTAAGGTGAGTCATGTGCAACAAGAGCTACAAACTACAATTTCTCTCTCCTCTCCTAAAATATTGTGCCAAAAGGCTATGAGTCTAGTAAATAGAAACAGAGGAAGTATGTAATATCAATAATGTCTCTCTTTGAGGATTTATAAACCTCATATCTATTCGAACTATGCTTGAGATTGTCACGAGCCCAACAAAGCTAGGTTATAGAGAGTCAAGAGTTCTTCAAACATGTCATTCTCCTCCTAATTTTTAATACATCCGGTAAAGTTATCACCCAAAATAAGCCAACATTTTCTGTTTAGCCTCTGATCAAGTTGCTCTATAGCTCACTCCGGCATATAGAGAGCTGCTACTGCTAGTGACAACTTCTACTTCTGTAACTCCCATACAGATAATTTTAACTCTAGAAATTCTGGCGAATGGAAGCTCTTCGTGGCTACTGTTAGTACATCAATGATTTCGCAGTAATCCATGGAGGATCAGCCTCTAATGTCGAACATTGATTTTGCTGAAGAATGAAGATAGCTAAACTAAAACAAATATTGTATGACAGACAGAACTGGAGGAGTTGAAGCATAAGAATAAAAAATAAAAATAATCTGCTCAAAGGGATGATAAATTGCAGAAGAATCAGTACAAGCTACAGCACACAGAGGGATCAAACTGTATACCACTGGTGAGAGTGCATCAAAACAATTCTCATATATCGGAGTAAATAAGATTTTTTCCCCTTCTGACCTTCCGTAGGAAAGTATGTTGCAGCAAGATGCCGTTGCTTGATACAACCAATTTTTTTTTACAAAAACCGAAGGACCACATTAACTTAGTTTAGTATTAGTACAGAGAAGTAGTAGAGTTTCCTGGTATAGATAATCCAGGTGCACTCTCAGAAATTGGCAGAGTTTTCAGTCACTAGCAAAAGCTTTACTACAGACCGGAGGAGGGGTACTCAAATTACATGATTGATACATGGTATCCAGATTGCATCTTGCCTGCTTGGCCAAAATGTCTGCTACAATGTTTCTCCTTCAATATTCATAAATCAGGCTTATGTTAGGTTGCTGCTGCAGCTGATCACTGCAATAATTGACATAGGGAGTCGCTTGATACAACAATTTAGTAAATAATCACTTTTGATTGAAAATTTATTCATGATAGTTCACCTAGAGGTTAGATGATCTCCGGTTAAAACATGTCTCATTGTAATTTATTAGTATGCAGGCATAGAAATAGTAAAAAAGAAGTTTTACAAGAAATTTGAAGTTGAAAAATAAAAACATTTCCAGTCCTTTTTTCAGAACAAAAATCAAATTTTCAATATGAACTAGGCCAAAATCACTGTTAATTTGAATTTACAACTTCAGTTGTCTTACGAATGGAGCTTACATTGACATACGATATTTTTTTTTTCCTTCTCCTTGATGGCAAGAAATATAGATAAATCCGAAGACAAACAATTATTAGAAGAGGCAAATCGGAATTCAATGACTCTCTCTTCTTCTTTGTGAAATTCTGTCATACAAATACATAGTACAATACTTCGTATAATTTAACAGTCACCCTTCTACCTATGCAAATAAGTTTGAATTGTACGACAGTTCTCAAACACAGGCATATTATAATAACCACTATAACCCAATAAACTTATTGAAATGTATACACCATCAACAGAAGCCGAAAGTTTGCCACTTTTTTGTTCTACAATCCAGTGATTTAAAAAATAAAAATCTTCAACCGCAACAGCATTAGCATTGCATATAATTACCAAAACAGCAGCATTCAGATTTATAGAAATTGTACAGAGCAAACAAAGTATGAACACGTACCTGATGACTAGTCGGTGGTGTAAGGTAAAGTTAGGCTTGGAACATAACTAGCAATCCAAGAGTTCCCCAGTCTATCAAGTGTTGCAAGTTGGATGTACTTGACTGGATTTGAGCTTGGGTCAACAAGTCCAAGTGTTGCACTTCCCACCAAAATGAAAAACTTGCCAGACCTAGTGAATCCACTCAATGCAACAATGTCGATGTCTTGTGATCTGTCTCTGTCGAGTAGAATAGTTTCTACCATCCCGGGCCACTTAAATATATGTATTGCAGCGCCATTACCACCCATATAATCCACATACTTAGACAAACACCCTCCCATGACACACAAACAATAATCTTCGGAAATATGACCGGGATCCAAATTCAAGTCCATATAGTTGTGAAACACCTCATGACCTAAATCGAAAGAAACAATTTGTACATTGTGACTATTAATCTTAGCCGCGATCCAATACAGAGTTTCATTAACCAAAACTCCTCGCGTCAAGTGGAATGAATAAGGAAACCAACGAGAAATTCCATTACTACAGAATTCAAATCTTTCATCTGACATACTTTGCAGTGAAAAGATATCTTGATAAAGTTGATCAGCAATTCTTGTCCATTTATTGGATTTCAATGAGAAAACATGCACCCTAATCTCTAGAGTAGCACCCAATTCAGTAACCCTAATAACCTTATAATCATCAACATTAGAAACATACCCAAATCCCCACGAAACCCGATTAGGGTTAGACCAATCAATTACAAAATCATAGTCTATATATTTTCTAAATTTGCCAATAATAGGATTCCACAAAATGAAGAAACTACCAGATTCAGAAGCTAAACATACTAGTCCATTACATGTGCCAATCAAAACCAGGTTTTCATCAGAATCAACACCAAAATCAAACCCTAATTTCGCTATATTCTTGTTGATGTTAGTACTAAATTCATCTTCAACAGCATCATCATGAGAATAAAGATAATGGTTATCCCCATTTTTCATGAACAAGTATTGAATTGGGGAAGAAGGGTGAAAAGAGGGAGATGATTGAACGAAAGCAAGCGCAAATTGGGGAGAAGAGAGAGTAGAATACCATAATTTGGAAACTAGTTTGAACTGCATTAGGGTTTTGATGGGCAGCTTAGTGAGAATGTGGTAGAAAATAATATCGGGTGGGAGCTTGAGAAATTGCTCAGCCATGGCAGAATCTTCATCTTCCATTTCTGTAAACCTCAGCTGCACTGGTGGTGAAGTCGGAACAAGGGGTGGTGGAACAGCTCTCACTCAAGGGAATTTTTGCGATTGTACCCCTTTATTTGGGAGTATACAATTTTATTTTTTTTTTTGTTTTTTTTATGTTCTATCCTGTTCTAATCCGGATTCGGAGATCAGTTCTGGGTGGTTAGGTCATCTCCCGATTGTTATTGGGGGATACTCCCTCCGTTTTTTAATACTTGATTCACTTTTCTTTTTCAACCGTTTTTAAATACTTACTCTATTTCCTTTTATGGAAAGCTTTTACAATATTTAATTCACTTCTCACACTTAATGGACTCAACATAATACTCTCTCTCCTCCTATTCTTCCACTACTTTTACTTTTTACAATTTTTTTATTTTCTCAACTACCCCACTACCTTCATATTTTATTACTTTCTCCAATTTCTCCTAAAACTCCGCGCATGAAGAAATGGAGCAAGTATTTAAAAATAGAGGGAGTAGTAAATTAAATAAACGCGAAATTCCACGGGTGTGACATGAGTTCGACTCCTATAGTCCTCCTCTTATCATTTACTCCCTCCGTTTTTAAATATTTGCTCAATTTCTCCATGCGCGGAGTTTTAGGAGAAATTGGAGAAAAATAATAAAATATGGAGGTAGTGGGGTTGGTAGAAGAATAAAAATTAAAAAATTGCAAAAAGCAAAAGTATTGGAGAAATTGAAAGTGAGAGAATATGAAATGAATAAAATATGATATTTGTTGGGTCCACTAGGTGGTAGAAATGAATTAAATATTGTAAAAAATTTCCAAATAAGAAAATGGAGCAAAGTATTTAAAAACGGATGAAAAAGGAAAGTGGAGCAAGTATTTAAAAACGAAGCAAGAATAAAAGAAAAAAAAGTGCAATCCGTCAAAATACTACGTACTCTGACCCGTTGTATGAGTTGTATCTATTAGAAAATATACATTAAAATGCAATTAAACTTATTAAAAATTAAAAAGTATTTATTAAAAGATAAACAATCAAACTCATTATAAATTAAAAGCTATCTTTACATGGGTTAAAACTTAGTATAAAAATTATTACTATATACAATTACCCTCAAATTTAGGGTATTTCAATCTATAAATAAACTAAAACAACAACCGCTGACATCATTATTTTTTTCAAATTGTACACATGTCAAGTTGTGGTTGAAAATTTTCCCGCCTAAATTAATTGCTTATATCATATTTTTATTTTTATTTTTATTTTTACCTTAAATTATTACAATATTTTTTTTAAACAATTAATATATTATATTATATTCCATATATTATATTATGATGAATTTATGAGCTGAGTTACTATATGGTTTCAAAATATAATTACTCCCGGTTAAAGAGTACTTTGTATTGCATAATTTACTTAAATTTATATTCTTATTTCAAGATTAGTTAGATCTAAATAGCATTACTATTAATGGTTATATTTAATAATTTATCTCATACAAGGGACATATGTAGAATAAATATTTATTTCAAAGAATTTTTTATGTCGTGCATCGCACGAGGCTTATCTAGTAAGCTTAATAAAAGTCCACCTTATTGAACTCAAATAGCAATTCCAATTGACCTTGCTCTGGTTACATAACAATTAAATAAAATAAAATTGCTTTGGTTTCATAGTAAAAAATAAAATAAAATAAAATAAATAGTTTATGGACTTATAGGGTAGCTGGGTAGGGACTTTTTATCAATCTTTTGATGCTTTTTATTTGTTTCACATGAACAGAGGGAAGTAACAGGGTAGCCCACCCAGTGGCAAGATGGGATACTTATGGTTATTCAGAGTTTGTCTGTATGGATTCGTTCCCGCAAAGTCTTTTAATTTTAGCAGATTCTGATTTATAATAAAATGTCTTCCTAACGTTTCCTTAAAAAAATGTGCAAAAGAAACCGTACAAGCCAAAGCACGAATAGAATAAAGATCAATCTGTAAACCTGTATGCCTAAAATTGTAGAAATAGGAATAGGGGAAGGAAGCAATACGAGAACCTCCAAGCCTATCAAATCTTGCAAGTCGCGTGTACTTAACTGGTTTTGAGTTTGGGTCTACAAGTCCAAATGTTGAATTTCTCAGAACAAAGAAAAACTTGCCAGTCCTTGTGAATCCAACAATGTTTTCACAGAACTTTAAATTAAAGTTGCTGGAGAGACAAATAATTTCGATCATCCCAGGATACTTCAGCATACGTATTACAGAAACATCATTCCACAAATTTACCCCATATTTAGACAAACACCCTCCCATCACACATAAAAATCTATCTTCACACATAGAATTGGAATCAACACTAATGTTCAAAACAACACGAAACTCCTCACAAACTAAATCAAATGAAACTACTTGTATACCCCATTCATTAACCTTAGACACAATCCAACCTTAGACACAATCCAATATAGAGTCTCATTAACCAGAACTCCTTGCATCGAGTGGAATGAATAGGGTAATGTCGAACGCGGGTCGGGGCCGCACCCGCAAACCAAGAGAGAGAGTCCACTTCACAAGTCTAAGGAGGTTCCATCCCAAAACCATATGGCGATAGGAGGAGTAGCCCCTTAGCCTTATAAAGTGTTTAACTCTCTCTTTTTCAACCAATGTGGGACACTTACATGTGGTGGCACTTGAGAGGTTTATTCTTCAACACTCCCCCTCACATGTAAGGTCCCTTTTTAACTTTGTCTCATGTGATTTTTCGGGCTAAAGTGCTTCTTCACTCCCCCTCACACGGACCTACTCTTGGCCCAGTGAACTTTAGCCATTTAAGGTCGCATATCGTGGGCCTGACTCTGATACCATGTTAAACGTGGGTCTGGGCCGCACCCGCAAACCAAGAGAGAGAGTCCACTTCACAAGTCCAAGGAGGTTCCATTCCAAAACCATATGGCGATAGGAGGAGTAGCCCCTTAGCCTTATAAAGTGTTTAACTCTCTCTTTTTCAACCAATGTGGGACACTTACATGTGGTGGCACTTGAGAGGTTTATTCTTCAACACTCCCCCTCACATGTAAGGTCCCTTTTTAACTTTGTCTCATGTGATTTTTCGGGCTAAAGTGCTTCTTCAGGTAACGATCCAGAAACTCCATCAGTTACAACACTCCTCAATGAAAAGATATCTTGATAGAGTTCATCAGCAATTCTTGTCCACTTGTTGGATTTCAATGAGAAAACATGAACCCTAATCTCTAGGGTAGCACCCAATTAAATAATCCTAATAACCTTATAATCATCAACATTAGAAACATACCCAAATCCCCACGAAACCCGAAAAGGGATAGATAAATAGCCTTCAAGTTCATCATCAAAATACTTTCTAAATTTGCCAATAACAGGGTTCCATAAAACAAAGAAATTACCAAAACAAGAAGCTAAACATACTAATCCATTACATGTACCAATCAAATGAAGCTCTTCACCAGATTCAAGCTCTAGATCAAAATCAAACCCTAATTTCACTAAATTCTTGTTATTGTTAATATCAATCTCATCTACTTCAACATCATCATCATGAGAAAATATGTAATAATTTTTCCGATTTTGAATGAACAGGAATTGAATTGGGGAAGAAGGGTGAAAAGGGGGAGATAATTGAGAGTAAAACAGAGCAAATTGATGAGAAGAGAGAGTAGAATACCATTGTTTGGAAACAAGTTTGAATTGTATTAGGGATTTGATGGGAAGTTTTGGAAGAATATGGTGGCGAATTAGATCATCTGGAAGTTGTTTTTGTTGATGAAGAACTTGTTCACCAAATTCAACCATGGCAGTACCTGCATCATATTCCATTGTTCTAATTTTCACTCTCTGCAACAAAGATAGTAAATTGAAATATTATGGGAAAAATAGAAAAAATAATGGCACAAAAATATAGGAAAATTTGGTTTTGAGCAATTTACTTTAAATTGTGTAAAATAAATGAATAAATAAATTACTATAAATTATCTTAATTTTTTTTTAAGGGAAAAATTATCTTAACTATCTCATAAGCGTGTTAGGGTATTACAAGGTATATCAACATGTCATAATGTTATTGTTCGGATGCTTGAGTATCTTTTGAACTCCGCTTGGCTAGAGTAAGTATGAGGGCTCCGTCTTGAGGTCCGAGAGCTCGGTGTCCAAAACAAGGAAGGTTAGCTGCCCCGAGGGTGTAACCCGGGAAAGCCCTTCCAAAATGCTTAAGTCAACGAATGTACTTTCTAGAGAAAGAAAGTATAGAGAGAATACTTAAAAAAAGAAAGTAGAGAGAGAATTATGAAAAATTTCCCTTCATTAAGAGCATGAATATCAAAGAGGATATATGTCCTCTTGTATGGTACTTTTGCTGATTTGGAGTAATCCTCTTTGATGTTAGGTAGTATAAAGGATCATCAAGGGGAAGAGGATTCTCATTCATCCTCATCTGGTGAAGGATTATTCACCTCGTCCTTTGTGCCAAAGAGGATGGAGCAAATCAGCCAAAACCCACCGTTTGAGCAATTTTAATGGACAAACCACGACGTTTAGCTGATAAAAAAAAAAGAAATTGAAAACTTACTGACATATGACAGAAACTTCAAAGTAGCAAAAACAAGGGCAACGGCTAGAATTTCAATTTGGCCTCCAATTGCTTGACAAGTGTCAACCTTTTATTTGTTTATTTTTAACAAAATTTTACTACCTCAAAATATGTATAATGGTAATTAGTGAAAAACGGTAACTTATTTTAAAAAACTGATTTCACCAATGGCTTTACAGTGCGTTTCTAGTGCGGCTGGCCGCACGGTGCGGCAGGGTGCCCAATTAGTAACCCCTAAAGTAACCCCTCAAGTAACCCCCCAAGTAACCTCACTAAAGTAACCCCTCTAGTAACCCCCAAAGTAACCCTTCAAGTAACCCACAAAGTAACCCCACTTAAGTAACCCCCCTACTAATTCCCCAAGTAACCCCCAAAGTAACCCCTTAAGTAACCTCTAACCGGACCAAGTAACCCCTGATCGTACCAAGTAACCCCTAACCGGACCTAGTAACCCCCTTAGTAACCCCTGACCGGAACTAGTAACCCCTAACCAAGTAAGTAACCCCTAATCCTACACCACCTCAAAGCCTTAAACTTCACCACATCACCACCACCTCTCGTACTCACGACCCCACGCCACCAGCAACCACGGGCAGCAACCATGCTACCGCCAACTCTGATCCCCAAAACTACCCTAACCATCAGCAACCACCAACCTCGCCCACCAACCACCAGCAACCCACATTAACCACGCCCACCAATTGCGCCTACCAACCCACACAATGAACCACCAGCAACACACAACAACCCATACCCACTCCGATCCTAAAACCCACCCTAACCACCAGCAACTCCGATCCCAAAACC